ATGTCAGAACTGCACGCGCTGTACAGGACTGGTTAGAAAAGTCACTTGACTTAGCTTGTTCATAACAATGTGAGCAAAAATAGACAAATGAAGTCTGACAGGTGACAATATCGGAGAATGCTAAAAAGAAAAGAAAGCACATAGGTTACATTTTGTGGTCACAGGTCACATTACTGTGTTGCAGCAGGCCAACAAGGCAGCAACTGGACCTCGATGTAGTCAAACTCCATCCTACTGAAAAAGCATACCTAAGTGTGTGCAGAATTTAACATACCACACACACATACATATATATACACATGTATGTATAAAACTGTTTTTCCCCTGAGTTACTTTATGGCACACTTAAAAAGAAATGAATCATATCAGTCTCTTCAAATACATTTTTAATGTCAAGAAACTGCTGCATCCAACTTTTGGTATGCAGACATTAAAATACCCTTCTCAGTCTTCATGCGTAGTCAGTTTATGTAAAAAGTTCAGGAATCATGGACATCCTAATAACCCCATCATGCAAGACGGACATGAAGCTGAATGTTACAAACAATGAGGTAAGGCTATCCTAGGCAAAAGCTATTAGGCACAGAGAAAGAACCCTATATGTATTATAATTACAATGTAAATACATACATGCGTTACTATTAGAAATCTGCTTTTTTATGGTAAGGGTCACAAAAAAAACAGATTCTATTCTGGATGCACAGAGTGCAGGACAGGGCTACACCCTGTGTGGTACGTATGTCCATTTGTAAAATTACTGCAATCCAATACGCCTTCAAAACATGGAAGAATTGCTACACTCATAATTTGCAGCATGCATCCCATTAATCTGATAAACCATCAATGTTTTTTAATAAAACAGTTTAAAAATTGGAATTATTCTCTCCCTTTAGAGGCATGAAAACAAGTGGTGCACAATGTTCCATTAGCAGTTCACAACCAATCTGTCTTTCTCTTGGTTAACTCTGAAGCGGATTCAGTTAAACAAGTGCATTTTTTGTGAAGATTTCCATGCATATACAGGATATTTTAAAACAACTAAAAACTGCAAAATAAAATATCTTACTGGTCAGATTGCCATTTTCATTACAAGGTCTAGGTGGTTATTAAAGTGCAATATTTGGACCAAGGCTTCATGCTGCATTTGGGAACCACCCACAGCTCAGTAGCAATGTCAGAAGCAGAAGAAACATTTTAGCAAATTCATTGCGATTCTGACACCACAGCAGTGCAAAGTGATAGTCTCATTTCAACAACCGGCTTGTTCAGTTCATCGCCGCCACGTCTTGCAGATACAGGTGTTGAAAAAAGGAACAAAAACCTGCAATAGTAATGTGAAGTATGGCTTCAAAGACTATAGTCTTATAAAATACAATAGCTTTTTTATTCACTTACAAATTGATTTCAGTGACCACAGGGTCTCTTGTTTATCTAATTAACTTTCCAATATCCAAATAACTTCACACGAAAGAAACCGATTCTACAGCTTACTGTATCATCACTCTTTACATAATTACGTATTTTAGGGAAAGTTGCAGAGTGAACGATTTCGAGCTCTGTGGACAAGGACAGGCAGCACTGGCCTTTCCGGGAGTCCAGAGAAGTGGGTCCAGTTCATCAATTTTACAGGAATCTGTCGAGTTCATGGAAGCACAAGGATGTTTATGTCCAGTGACTGGTCAGAACATTGTTGGGATTAGCACTTTCATTTCATCATTGCAAGCCACCTGAAACTTAATCTCCCATGAAATACACTATTACTTTTGGATAGGTGGACACCAACAGAAAGTAGCAGAACTGCCTCCTGCAGAGTCCGGATGAATCAACCACATGAGTGGCTATTTCTTCACATACCAGCACGTTCTGATGGTCCAGTGGCCTAAAGCCTATATTTCATATATAGTGGTTCAATGTAAATTCCCGGATTCACAGATAACCACCATTTGAGAGGAGACACCATAGAAAATACATTCTGGAAGACAAAGATTTGGCTCTCTCTCTCTTGCCTTGAATCCTATTCTGCTGTCTTCTGAACACTTGACAATGTCATGCTACACTGGCAGTTTGTCTGAATCTGGTCTCCAGCTTGGTCCTTTGCTCAGAATAAAGTGTGTACATTGCCAGCAAAATATAAATATATAACTTCCCAAGAATTCTACTGCATATGTGTATATATCTAATATACCAATGTAAACAGGAAGATTTTTTTTTCAGGTACCCTTCGTAGGAAGTTATTTAGGAAAAAGAAAAACAAACCAGAAAATATGATGAAGATGTACAAATTCGTTGGAGTGATTTGTGCTGAATAAGAAAATACTTATGCCATGTGATCCTATTTGATTAGTAATTAACTGAGACTAAGTCACAAAAACATTGTGAGTCCACTGAGAACAAAAATATGATGTGCTACATATGCTATATAAGTATTTTTAAAATTAAAAGAACAATTTTAAAGAAATATAAGTAAGAATGCAAGTATACAAAATGTATAAATAAATGGCTAATGCACTAATAAAGTATTACTTTGTAACATACTTTAAGACCTGTTTTTCACTATGTTTTGTTCACGTTTATAAAATATATTTCATATTTCTGTCTACAAGATGGCATTATTTGCATCTTTGTGACAGAAGCAAGCCTCTCAGGTTAGCTTAGAAATAGGTTTGCAAACACTGACAAAGATACATAGACTGTTAAGTATCTTTAATAATAAAATCAATAGCACTATGCCACAATGTCAATAACTAATTAAGCAGAATTGTAGGTTATTTGGCAGAGATATGCTAAATACAGCAAATGTCTTTATATCTGTAGCAGCCACCTTAAAAAAACTGCTACTAAGCTAAAAATCTCAACTCTCCTACAACGTCTGCACCTTTTTTAAACATACAAATACTACTTCCTTGTGAGAGTAAATTAAACTAAAATGGAAAATGAATACGAAAAGTACACAATATGCAAAACGTTTTAATTAAATGGAGTAGCAAAGGTTAAGAAATAACCTAGGTGAGTTGTGAGTTGTCTTAGAGTTAAATAATAAAATACCCACTCGGGCCAAGAAATGCAACACGTCTGTATGTTTTATGTGTGAACAGTTTGGTGGTTGAGAAATTAAAATTAAATGGCTTAAAGATAAGGATAGTAAACTACTAACACAAACTTTACTATTTATCTGCAGTTTGAATGAATTCCAGAGCCCAAAACACTGCATCCAAAATGTATACTCTTTAAACTAACTTTATACTAAAACAGTTCTGGGAAAGCAAGACTGTTTTCACAGAATAAACTCCTGCAGGAGTCCCGAGATTCCAGGCTTTACCTGATGAATCTTAAAGGGCAAATAAATATCTCTATAAATATGAAAACTACAACTCCTTGCCATGAATGTGAGTCTCACCACTACCTAGAGTCTGGGAGTTTTTAGTTTATCAATGAGAAATCCTAGGGAGGATGTCTCCCACTCCATAACTTTCTCACTCCAATTTGTCCGTGCTTTTTTCCCTGCGATACCTTTGCTTTTGTCTTTTTAATCCTTTTAAAACACAGTGTTGGTCACATAATCTTGGCTGGTCTGCTCCAGAGGGTTCCAGTCTTGAAAGTTGTCAAACATCTGTAGTCTCCACTCAACTGGAGGCAGCCTATCTGATCAGATATCCCCAAGCTGTGAACAAGCCCTGTTAACATCTTACCACCTCTATCTAGCAATTCAAATTACACTGGCTAGGGGAGACAAATAAAAATAATATCATTATGGAAAAAAGCACTGTAATCATTTACTCACTGTGAATGGGCAATATATATAACAGTAAAAAGAAAGATAAACAAAAGCACAGTAAAATCAATCAATAACAGAGAGTTAAACTAATTTCTACAACAAAAGCTGAATACAAAAGATTGGTCTTTAAGCAAGTTTTAGAAATTTCACCAGTCACATAGTCTCTAATGGATTTGGGCAATGAAAACTACCAGTGTGGACATACATACAGTACCTCACACTTAACAATATTATGTGAGAAAATGGTTATTCATGGCATTTTAAAAAACATCTTTCAACACCAGTTATATGGCCTATCGGTATCAAGAATTTCCCCTTAAGAAAAACAAAACAATACCTTGACATTGCATTTCGGTTTTTGTGTTTTAGTTTTTGATCATAAGAAAATGCAATGAGAAGCTGTATGACTGAAAATGTGAAAAAAGCCTTCAAGATACAAAATAAGGTGAGATGACATTCCTTAGGTCTACAGAACAGTTCCAATAATATAACCACACATTCTAACACAGAAACAAATCTGCCACTGCTTTAATTAAATTAGTCGAAGCCATTCGTTCAAGGTAAAGAAATATATAAACAATTTCACTATCAAACTGGCATGCACCTACATCAATGTGTGAAGTAGTCAGCAGGTAGCAGTGATGAATAATATGCTGTCTAAATTGCTGCAAAATGATGGAAACTCCTAGGCACAGCCAAACAGCATTCTGAGGTAGGATCTCGATTACAGGTAACTCAACAGAAAAAAGACCTTACTCTTACCTTCTAAAACAACACAAATTTCAAAAGCAAGACTTTTTACCCTTTTGATTGAAATACACTTTGTACTACATAGTGTTTAATGAGTTTTTTGTGCTTCATATTCAACAATTCCATATATTCTCTTCGTTTCCAATACTAATTTAATCTGATTTGATGTCTGCATATAACAAAGGAAACTTTTTGCATGAAAACTAGCACACAGATATAGAAATGGTTTTGCAGGAAAATGACCCACAGGAGAGTGATCTATTCTCCAACAGCATTGAATTCAACTCTGATGTTTAAGAACTATGATTTTAGGCCTATGAATATTAAAATAACACTTATCCCAATAAGAAGCTGAAGATTTTAGTTTGATAAAACATCCTAAGCTAGAAGATAAAGTTGGAATATTTAATGGTACTTTAAATATAACTTGTGTTGTTGTGGGGTTTTTTTTCATAAATAATGATAATACACTTACCTCATCAAAGTTGCTGTCATCTTTCTTGAATGCTTGAAAAGAAAAATGGAAATCAGCATAAGTGCATAAGTTAAAGTACTGCAAAAACAGGATCTTACCAAACTATTCCATTTACTGAATGTGTATTGTGCAGATGTAGATAACTACATTCCTTTACAATAAACATTTTAGATCTTACCAAGGCCTGTAACACATTGCCGTGTTTTGACTATTTGACCCCTGAAAAAAGCCATCAATATTATTCACAAAAGGCAACTGCAGTGAATATATCTGGTAACAAATATTCCTCAAAATTAAAAATGAATTATAGCACAGCTTTGAAAATTAAAGTAAGACAATTTGATCCTTGAATGTTAATTGTAATGCTATCTTTCCATGGAAGTACAATAAATTTTAGTAGCTACATTTGCCAAATGAAGCTAAGTTTCAGATTTAACACTGCTAATGTTTAAATCTTGTAAGGTTTCATGATGTTTCGCAAGGCTGAAATTGCAACATTGGTAAGACTCTTATAGGTATAGCTGTTATTATTATTTTGTAAATTAATCTGTTCAGCTGAGTTTGGAATTGCAAGTTCTCTGTGCAGTAACAATAATGTGACACATTCACGATTACAAAAATGCATTGAGCTGAAACCGGTTTAAAAATTCTCAGATGTCACAAAGGGATTATAAAGATATATGGGTGAATTTCTTGAAGCATTGTCAAGATGTGTTGATAGTCTTCATTATGGTATTCGGTCATTATACAGTAGGTGTATGGACTACAAAACAATCATCCTGCCATACAGAATATTAAAAATGTAAGGAAATCTTGGAAAAAATAACAGAAATATGTTTTGGCTACTGTGAAGCTCTAAAATCTATACAAGTCCAAAACTCTAAAATTTAAATAAATCCAAAATTATATACATATAAATAAACACAGTAGTGTTAGTGTGCCAGCTCTAATGGCCTTTTTAAATAATATGACTGGTGCTGGTCCATAATGTGCAGGAACCCATTAGTGTTTGTGAGGGTTTCATTCAAGCCAGCGTTTATTTGTTGCCATTATTTTATACTACAGGACAATCAATACCCCTGTTAACTGAACCATGAAATTGTACTCTCTTTATAAAGCATATCACAGACACCTTCAGCTTAAAGGAAAAGCTAATTGCTCATCTCCAAAAGAATAACAATTTATTATGACAACGCTCTCTTGATGAAGGTAATACACCCGGAATCATTGATATTGGAAAAACTTCAATATTGTTAAAAGCGTTTCAAAAAAGTGTGAAGACTGCTTCATCTTTATATGTTAAATAAATCAAAATGGCCAAATAATCTACAGTAAGGACCTTCCCAACACACGGCAAATAAGCTAAGAGCATAACAAGAAGAATTATTTTGTTAATGATTAACAGGGGTTTTAACCACATCGCTCATTGTTTTCATAAACCAACTCAAAATACTATAAACATTGCATTGTTGTGCAGTATGAAATATAGTCTCCTCCACAATTTTGTTAAATGTTTTGGTATAACAATCATCTTTTGTAAAATAATGTGCAAAGAGATACTATTGGCTTTTAATTTGTTTATGCGCGTATTCTATGATAAAGTTGTAATGCCACATGTTTATAGATCTCAGAGAGATGCTCCATTTAGTGTAAATTAGGTTTTCTTTATCAGCAATGTTCATTTTCTGAGAAACTTCTTATTGTAACAAATGCAAAAATATTTATTCATCCAAAGTCTTACTCCTTGACTTACAACCAAAACATACAGATGCCAGCTCTCCCTCAAAATCAATTAAAAAAAACATTTCATAATGAATAAGCTGTCAGCCTCAACATTCCAAAGTGATGGAGCTACCACAAAAGACATCCAAAAACATGTCACCAGTTAGATCTGTTAACACAAGGATAAATCAGAGGAACAAGAAAAAGAATTACATTCTGTATACAAAATCCAGAATTCTCATATTTTTATTTTCGAATGCAAAAGTTCAAATACACTGCCCCGAGAGCCATAAACAGTATTCATACTGTAGCTTGTCTTTGCTGATGATTCCTAAGAGAGAGAGATCATCATGTTATAAAACTCATAATAAAAACTTCAGAAACTAAACAGTTGCATAATAAATTATACAGGTAGTAATTTTGTAAAAAAAAAAGATACTTGCATTCTTTTCAGTCCTGCTAGAGTTTGCATCTCTTTTTATTTTAAAAACTTTATGCACAATCAGACCAATCCAGGAAGAAAGAACTGCCTCACATTCTCTCAAAACAATATCGTAAGAACGTTTCAGTGTGTACAGGGCTTATAAAACAATTACTATTTCTAAAAACTCAGAAAGACGATAATTTTTGCTGTTATTGTTTTTAGTTCTTCCCATGATCTTAAAATGCAGCATTGTAATTGCTGTATACCACTACTGTGTGTTTTACCACATTGTTAATTCTGCCATTAATAATTCACTGCAGCCTTGGACCTAGGTAAACCTCTCTACAACATACTTCATATCCTGGGAATACAATGCAAATGGAAATTTATTTTAATATTTCATACCAATTGTAAGCATGACCCATGTCTAGTGTACATTCAATTTGCATTGCAGTGAATATTCTTAGAGGTCTTGTATCAGGGCTACACCTCATATTTCTCCCCGAGTTCGATGTATTTTTCAGTAATGATCATTGCTAGGCGCTCTCCGTGCCAATAAAAAGATACAAAAATCACGTTTTATTAAACTGTTGCCTATTTTAATGTTTAATGATGGAGATATCACGTGTACATTAAAGCGTAATGACACAGACATTGGACATGAAATGCAGAGTAAAAGCAACGTGCCAAATATTGTCCCCTGTCGTTCTCTAGCTAAAGTAACATGTTTTGATTTTCCAAAACTCAAAACGGTCACAAATCTCGATGTGAATGTCGTCTCATGACGACTGTAAACGGCAGCTGATAATGAAAGAAAAGAGTGACTTTAGGTTCGTGCACCATTCGTGGCTACAGACAACGGGAGAACAAGACTGGGGTTTACTGAGTTTGAATTTCTAAATTAAGCGCTTCAATCAGCAAGTACAAATCCAACAACAGTTAACTGCAATTAGACAACAACTAGACTTCACTTCACTAGGGACAAACTCGTGTACAGTATCCCTACAAGGCGTCCCCATTAAACAACACTGTGCGGTTTAAGATTTTCAGAACAATGACGTAATGCTCTTTGTTTTATCTTCCACGTGAAACTGACACTAAATCGGTGCGCAGAGGCATTAATTCCCAGTGTTGCAAGAACCCAATTGCTTCGTGCCACGGCGTGTGTGCAAAAACAAATTTCTGCGACACCAAGCGCACACCGGTGTTCATGCAAAACGCGCCGCTAATGGTGATTTCAACTGGACTTTTACAAGCTAGGTTCATGTATTGTACTCCCCCAGGACAGAATTTGTTTCTCCCGCCCCCCCAAAAACATTCTGCTAATCCTTAGAAACCCCGCGGTTCTGCTTTCGAGCATTTCTTCTGTGTTCGTCTGTGAAATTATAGTTCATTGGGGAATCTTATCTGGGATAAGAAGCTGCAGCTCGGGTGCTTTAAGAGCATAGCCAGGTCTACTGCGGCCAATGGCCACCTCGTTATCAATGAGCTCAGGTTACCAGGTTTTGCTAATCGTGACGCCCGGTGTCCTCTGCAGCTGTACCTAGCATAAAAGCTGGTCAAAGGTATCTCTGAACTACTCTTCACGCTTGTTGGGATCCTTAAAGGTGTTTAACATTTTTGTTAAAAGCGAGAAAGGGGTCCTGTTGATTCCCAGCTGAGCGTTTTGTTGTCGGTTTGAAACTTTTACAATTTTTCAGCGCGCTACCACGGGCAAATGATGGTCATTCCGTTAATGCACACAGGTGACAAAGCACAGTACCTAAAGAAGACATCCACAGTCTCCCATTTAAAAAAAAAAAAATAAGCTGGTGTATAAAAGCCTGAGAGGTACTGTATCTGCCCAGACGTCAGCTACAAACTGATACCCCTTTACGGAATGAAGGTATCTAAACTATTTACGGTCCACAGACCCGGTTGCATCGGACCTGCATTGTGCGGTAGTGCAGAGAATTTCAGTAACGCAAATGATAAGTGATTTATCAACCTCTTTCTCAGTTTTAAGTCAAGGAATGTCCTACAAAGAGCCCTCATTGTACTCAAGACAATCGCTAAAAGATACGAGCCAGGACCCTAACAATACTTTGCTGAACAAAAAAAAAACCAGGCAGGCGACTCTACTTACTTATTCGGTTGAAACTCTCCGACAAAGTTCTTCGTAACTTTTTCATTTTGCCGATTTTTTCAGCGGGCTGCGAGGCTGGCATGAAGTCACACATTTCGATTCCCGGTTGGACCGGAGTCGGTAAAAGAAAAGGTCCAAGACCAGAGATCCTGGGAAGAAAAGTCGTCGGGGGCAAAGAGGAATCGAGCAAGCGGCGTCTCCGCTTTTGCTATGCTGTCAAACCCAGGAAATGTGCTCTGCGAGAAGCTCCCGTTTTCAAAGAGGCATTTTCTTGCGCTAGTTTTTTTTTTTCTATCAGGTTTTTGCACTTGCGAACTTCATTTCTTGAGGCAGAGCATCACTGCTGGCGATTTAAAAGAACTGAAACTTTACAACGTGCCCAAGAAAGGATGTGCTTTTTTTTAAAAAAAAAACACGTCTTCCGCAGGTCTGTGTCAATTTCTCACTCTCTTTGCTTTCACTGTTTTTCTCTCAGTCTGGATGTCATTTTCGGGATTCTCTTTTCGGGAGGGGGAGTAAAAGAGGGGAAAAATCCCACCTCTGCCAGCCCATGATTGGTCAACTGCAGTCAATCTGGGTTGTGATACACTATCGGTCCCTTCAATCAGAAAGTAACGACTGTAAGGTCAGTCATCGCTCCGATTCGAGCTGCGTGCTTTAAACCCACAAAGTTTCTTACAGGATTTTTAGACGAGAAAAAAAATGCGTCCCTTAATAATAATTGCAGGACACTTTGCATCGTCTCTTTATGTTTCTCTTTTTGTTTGTGTTTTGATTATACTTTGAAATAACAGTGAAAGGCTTTAATCTTTATAAAACTATTAGTAATGCTGTATATTAATGTTGAGCGAACGAGCTTTGGTCACTTACAAATCCGGGTTTTCTATCAAAGAAGGCCAGTTGTACATTTGCAAATAAAAGTTTCAGCTCTTTTATCAGCCTCTAGTTCCATCCCGCATTCCAGCACGCCCAGGATACTTTTCAAGTGGGTTTATATTAAGTAATGCTTTTATTTCATGCATTGTAGTCTGTATAAATAATCATTAAAGTTGGAATTGTGACAATACAGAAATTTAGTTTCGGTATTTATGGAATTGCAGCATCTTTAAATATGAAATACACGAGAAGAAATGAAGGGTTTCATAGTCTAATTTTACTTTTATACTAAATATGAATCTTAATCTGACGGTCTTGCACGAACCGTGTTAAAAGTCTTGTGTGCCTATACAGTAGATAACATCACTTTATTATTAACCCTTTACAATGTCTTGCAAGATCTTATTTTAAGGACATATTTTAAATTTAGACAATGGGGGTTGGGATTTGAAAAGTTAGTGGTTTTAAAATGGATTATAAACTTAATGTATTACGTTTAACATTGCTTATTATTGATTCTAAACATTTAGGTGACAGGTTGGCTGTAAAATGTAATTTCTTATTCTTTAATTTGCTCTGAAATGATGATAGTGCTAAAACCGTAGCTCTGTACTCTAATGAGTCCTCATTCTTTGCTTCCAAAGAACGACTTTCATTTAAAAATCACATCTCTCCCCTTGTTTGAAGTCTTTACAAGGGCCCTTCATGCTGGAAAAAAAGAACCGGGAGATGAAATAAAGGTCATCTTCACAGCCCCTCATAAAGAAGAGCACCTTTCCAATCGCCTGTCATTCTGAATTACACCAGAACCTGTGATGCATAATGTGCGGTTCATCATTTTCTTTACCTTCCTTTTACTAGATGATATGTGAGCAAAGTGAAATTTGGTACAACTTTCCATAGCAGGGAGGTAAAAAAAGGATAACATACAGTACCAACTCTTTACATATGAAAGGTCTTTCACAAGCAGTGCTGGTAATACACTGGCACCTTGAGGTGTCTCCTGTCTGTTGTCCATGTCTTAGTTTCATTAAGGCAGATGGGAATCACAACTGCTTGATACAGCAGGGGTTGAGCTTGGTTTAGCTGAGGACACAGTCTGGGAGCAGTTGCGTGTACATGCAGCCAAAGGCTGAATTTGCATATTTGTGGCGATGTTGATCCTCTTAATCGATATCAGCCGGTCTGATGTTCCCCAAGTTCAAGTCACAGGAAATGCTACGTGTTCAACAGAGTCTCCTAGCAAATCTAAATTGCCAGGGCTGTAGGCTTCTTATTCTCTGTTCTGAAACAGTCGCAGGAGGTTAAATTCCCTACCTTACAGTAATTTAACTTTTATTAAGGAATATTAAAAGTAATGTTAGGGTTGACTCCTGTCATAACATCAGTGGCGCTTGTACAGTAATTCACAAATCAGAATAATTGCTCATGCTCAGGCATGCATCATTGTCAGGCATGTCTCCTACCGTATCTTCCAAACTATTATCATCTTGAAACAGGTGGAGAACAATGATTAATTTCTGCATTAATGGCTTCAATCTCTTTAATATGATCTTCCAAAGTGCTTCTGAGTTGAAAGAGTCAAAGGATGCCATGAATAGAGTTTGTTTTGTCCTCAACATTGTCCTGTAGCATGTAAGCACTGAAGATCATGTCAGTTGTGCCTCTTAGTCGACTGCACCTACAATGGGATTCTGGGAGAAGCTCTTCAGTAAGCGAAAGGAGACAAATCTGGAGGGTTCTCGCAATGAGACAGCAAGCTGATTTCCATTGTCAGGTGTGTAGCCTGTCCTCCAAACTATCATCATCAAGGCATCCTACAGGGTCACTGGGGCTTTTCTCATCATCCTCGATCCACAGCACAAAGGCTTGGGACTCTGCTGTGAGCACCTCCCACTGCTTGAAGGCTTTGGCAAGGTCTGCATCAGCTCCAAAAGTCTTTTTGTTCTTCATCCACTTAATCAACTTCCTTCCTGCATTAAGGCTCATCTCGACAAAGTCTTGACTGAGGAGGCACTCAAAACACTTCTTGTAATGTGCATTAACAACTTCTTTCTCCTTGATGACAATTTTTTCTGTTCTTAGGTCTCGAGGGGGCTTGTGCCTGAGTGCTCAGACCACACAGTAAATGGTTTTGGCAAAAAGTCACACGTATTACGTACACCATGTTTCTTCATGTCATGGATCACTCTTTTAACCTCTATCTTGACTCACTAGTGATTGCTTTTTTTTTTGGACTTGCTGTCATTCTTCTGCTAATGTATTATATAGAAATGGCAACATCATAAATCTTTGGTTTGGAGCTTGACATTATAATATGTAAACAAAAGTCTTTCAGTAGAACGTTTTTGTTGTCATGACTGTAGGTGAGTTCACAGTCATAGGAGAGCCCTTGCTGGTAAAGGAGGCTTAATTTATTCCACTCACTGCCTTAAATAGAGTCCTCACGGGAGGTTGTGCAAATCACTGTGCTGCTGAGTTTCACATCACATTCTCATCACACTGCAGAGCATCTCCACATATTTGCAATATAAAACTTTGGGGCCTTGGGATACAATATTCACATTTTGGATAATGTATTAGCTTTAGATGTGCTGTACAGTAATCAAACTCTACCTCGTAATTCCATGTCTTGGTAGTACTGCATGTCTCCGAGTATTGTTTTCATAGCTGTGTTCAGCCTGTGTGGTTTTAAATAAGAAAACCAATTGATAAACAGCAGTGTACTTCAACTGGCACATACAATGCCTTCCAGATATATTCATACCCCAGATGAAATTTTATGAAGTCTTATAGACAGATTATCATGAAAAGTCAGATGTTTTGACATGCTTGTCAGCATTGTGAAAAAAAGTTAAGATCATTCTGAGAAAATATCCATGCCCATTGTGAAATGTGGGGTCTGTTATGTTTTGTGATTGTTTTGTATTTACAGGCCCTGGAATCATGAACTCCAACATGTCCCAAGATATTTGATAACACCTGTTTCCTTCTGTCAACAAATAGGCATTCTAGCATGACAATGATCCAAGGCATACATCTAAATCAACAAAGAAATCTTTAACTGAATGCAAAATAAATGTTCTCAGCTGGCCATTGCAATCTCACACATCAATTTAATAGAACATGATGGTCTGAACTCAAGAAAGCAGTTTAGCAACGGGAGCCAAAGTGTCTGAAGGAATAAGAGCAATTCTTCCTTAAATAATGGTAAAAAATCCCCCGTCAGAAATGCCAGAGGCTCACACACCTACTAGAGGTGTAATCCCTGCCAGAGGAGGATTTACAAAATACTTAGGTGAAAATATATATGATCCTTGTGTTTTCTGGACATTTATCTAGGACAAATATGACTTTGCTCTGTACAATGATATTAAGACTACATTAAGAATTTTTTTTACTTTTTCCAGAAAGAGACATTATCCTAGCCATAAATCTTTACTATATGATACATTATATATACACACCGTATGATGTATTTTTTCTTCCTATTCCACTGAATGAATAGGTGGACATGAATAAATCAGGAGGACACTATGTATGGGTTTGAGAGATTAGGTGGTTCTTTATGTTTGGTATTTAAAATGATATTGGGGCTTGCCTGCATTGCTAGTGGTAATCCAGCTGTTTACAAATACCAGCCTGAAAGTCTACCTCCTCATGCAGATGCAGCACAACCAAACTGATTACAGACCATGTGTTCAACAGAATTACATTGCCAGGGCAAAGATGGCTCACAAATTTCAATGAGAATTTCTAAGACTTTTTTGGCATACAGTATGTTAAAAGACTAAGCAATGGGCTGTTTTTGCCATCCACCAATTTTGACACTGAGCACAAATTGAAACTTTTAACCAAACTATGTGGATAAATGCATGCTAAGACTTTTTTGGCATACAGTATGTTAAAAGACTAAGCAATGGGCTGTTTTTGCCATCCACCAATTTTGACACTGAGCACAAATTGAAACTTTTAACCAAACTATGTGGATAAATGCATGCTGCAGGGCAGCGCAGGCACTGTACATTGATGTCTTGTTTATAGAACAGAAATGGGTTAGCTAAGACCTTAACAGCTACTGCCAAGTTGGGTGCAATACGATTGTCTTCACTTAGGGCTGTTGTACTCCTTAGGAGGACTAGGGCAACCTATGAATAATAATAATAATAATAATAATAATAATAATAATAATATTAGGGCAACCTATTATCCTATATGAGTCTGGGAACAACAGCTATGAGGGTCATAATTGGAACAGCAAGCTCATTTAATTGCTAACTGGTAATTGATCTGAAAATCCCATCCAGCGATTTTGAGAAAGAAGCCAGAGCATCAACTTTGACAACTCATACAGTATGGCTGCGTTACTTGTTCCACACTCCCACAAGCCTTTGTGTAAAGATGTTCTTCCCACAATCAATCAACCAATCAAGGTTTATTTATCAATGCATAAGCAGTACAGAATACGATTGTCTTGTGTTGTCGGCAATGAAATGCATTGTCTGCGAGCTCGTTAAGAGCTCAAGCTTGAATAAGACTTTTGGTGAAACTGCAGATAACGTCAGCTGAATGAATGTTACCTGAACAATGTGAAGTGAACTAGCAGCAGCCTCACTGAACAAACTTTTATTCCTTTTGTAAGTATACAGTAGCTAATCAAATTACCTGTATACCACTACTGTAAAATACAAGCATTGCTAACAAATGGCATATGTCTATAGAACCAAAAGAAATCAAATAACATTACCATATTATTACACATAACACTTTGTTTGATCTTCCAGACGATTTTCTAGAAATGCAATAATCCCCCACTCCCCACCTTCTCTCTAAAACTTTCGCTCATAATTGAAATAAATTGTTTTTGTTTCAGACATTTCCTTCCTGCAGATTTCAGGGTTGATTACACTGTAGCACAAAAGAGCTCAAGTGATGTAGGGGCATGCTGAATTGAATAAGGTTCTTATTGGAAGCACTCCCATTATAATCTGGAGCAGTTCTAAAACAGTTTCCTGCTCTGCTAATTCAAAGTCCTTTCCTTTAAAAACATACAGCACACTGTGTGTATGTGGGTGGAGAACACATATAAGTGAACTCATTAGACGTCTCCGGTATTAAGATATGGGAATCAATTTTATTTTGTGTTCTATGCTACACGGATCTGGTACTGAGCTCTGAGATGCTTGATTTATTTTTGTTGAGTATGACTTTGGAGATAGAGTAAGTTTATAACTTTCTGCTATCTTATTTGAATGTATTAGTGTAAGCACCTGGAACTAAGCCAGCCTCGCTAACAGCTTTTTGTCTGTGTCAAATTAGGAAACAAAACACAATGAAACAACTTCCAAAAAGCACTGAAGTTTATGCAACACCAATGTGCACTTTTTTAATCTTCTTTTTTAAATTAAGGTTTTAATTCCAACCTGTTTTTTATCATTCCGAATGTTTAAACCTTATGTTATTTATGCTTGAATGGATAGTCTAATTTACACAAATACAGTACAAAGTGAGTGGGGAGGAAGAAGAAAACAATCAGAAAATTAAAAAAAGAATAAGGAAATGTCCTTTTGTTTTAAGACTTTGTTTATTACTTATTGCCAGTATGATGCAATATATTTGTATTTCTTTCCTCCTGCACAGACTTAAAATGAAAGTGCTGCCCACATAGTTAATTTTGAACAGCAGTGACATAATGACATCTGGCTCTGTGGCCAAGGATCTGCGCCTGTGGCTGGAAGGTCCTACAAATCCTACTCCGTTGGGCCCCTGAGCAAGGCCCTCAACCCCAACTGCTCCAGGGGTGCCGTATAAATGGCCGTCCCTGCGCTCTGACCCCAAGCTTCTCTCCCTGTCTGTGTGTCTCATGGAGAACAAGTTGGGGTATGTGAAAAAAGACAAATTCCTAATACAAGAAATTGTATATGGCCAATCAAGTGATCTTATATATACAGTATTATTGGACTTTTTGCTCTGTCAGCTATTTCACACAAATTTTATGATGCTTTAGTTTCTCCCCACCTCACTGACACCACTTTTAATTACAGTGTGCTTAAATGTTGTTTTAATCTGAAGATCAATGTATACATTTGAAACTGTCACCATGACATGACCGGGAATTGTCAGGTCTACGGTATCAATGATATTAGCATCACCCATGGCAAGATTCTCCACAATTTCCAGACTTTGTGGGATGAGGATGGGAAAATCTGGAGAATTTTAAAAATATACATGTCTGGGAGCATACATCTTCATATACTTGTATTCACTGTAAGGTTTAAGTAAAATCAATTATGTAGGACTCTTCACCAGTCTTTTCAAGTATAAACCATAAAAAAAAATAGCTATACCAGCCTACTAACGTATTAATGATGAATTAAAACAGACGTTATAGCTACATCTATACGGTTGATAATTAAGCAAACAGGTTTGCGTAAGTGAGGTGAATCCCAGACTGAAACAGAATTTCCAGCTGCCTTCAGCCTCAGTGTGGTGAACTGAAGGTCAAGTGGATCTTGACTCTGGGAATAAATTTTAAGGAAGAATTTTACTATTTTAAATTCTAACATTTTCAAATACATCTCGGCATTACACGTACCTGAAAACCTCAGTCGAAGTGCATTTTGGGAAAAGGTATCTACCCAGTTCACTTTCTTTATTAGACGCTTTTACAGTGGCCTGTGTATGGAAATGGAAACAGAGCAGGATTTTGACTGATATAAAATCATTAAAGAAGCACAGAGAGACCCACAAGTCATTCAGGGTCAAGGGAGCTGAGCAGAGGTTGAGAAATGAAGTGATAAATGGTAATTCACCTGCTATTAGATTGCCTCAAGGTAAGATTTCTTCATTATGCCACTGAAATTGGGATTTTACCAAACTGAAATGAAAAATCAAAAAGCTTCTTTCTTCACAATCACTATGGTGTACTTTTATATAACAGAAGCATCATTCCATATAACTGTGCAGCTATACAATAAGAAATTCCAAACAATTTCATCAGGAGCTTAGTACTGCAGGTTTTTTTTTTACTCTTTAGCTGCTGGCAGCTAATTTGCTTTGATGTTTCTTATTGTCTTCATTGCAAAGCTACAGTATTTCACACAGCCTTGCCAGACCTGACATTTTGTCTGCATTAACACATTTAACACACAACACAGGCAGACTTTGAATTCTGATTGAATATATTCTGCATGACTAATATTCTTGTAAAATGTCCGTGATGTTTTGTTACATTTACATTGAAATGCCTAACCAGCTACCTAAATCGCTCTATCGCTTTCGTAACAATAACGTTCTTAAAGCAAAACCTGAAAGCCAAATTGTAACACGCTTAGAAATAATTTCCATTGCATTTAATTTATAGGACTGGTCAATAGATTTTGAAGTTTTAGATCTACTAAATATATTTTCTAATCAATTCCGCGGCACAATATTAATAAGAAAATCTGCAATGCCCTTTCCTTAATCAAATCTTCGTTTTGACACTCACTCTAGACATCAATGAGGCAGACATTTCTGACCTTGCCATCAAAAGCTCCTACACGGAAGAGGAATGGAGCCAAGCACCCAGTGCTCTGTCAAGGTTGTCCCAACAGTGCTCAATTCATGAATACATCAGAGATCAGCAACTGTAGATGTATTGTTGCTCAAGGCTTACATGCTGAAAGGCAGTCTGGCGCATGTCAGTTCAGCAAGGGGGCCTTTGATTTATGATTTTGTAAGAAACAAATGTTCTTTTATTATTACTCTAGGTAAAAACAAGATGGGGGGAAACATTTTAGAAAGCAATGGTTTCACAAAACTCATGAGAAAAGCTGTCAGGTGCAAACTGCATTATTCTAAAATTTGAAGCATGATAAAATACTGATAAACTACTGAGCATCATGTGCCATAATTGTTTTAATATATGCAATTTATATTCTGTGTATAAGTTCCATAAACACTGAAAGAATACCAAAGCTTTTTATGTAGTGAAAAAAGAACCTTTATTAGAAATCAATTTTTTCAGCCCAGGTTTATACAGCATTATCTTACATTGACACAACAAGCGATTCATTTACAGAACAAAAAATAAAACAAAACAAGGAGCTAACAGGATGTCAAAATGAAATTTTTCGAGAACCTAAATTCAAAATGTTCATAAGCAAAACTTTTAACTCATTCTGTGGGGCTTAAAAATACACGCACTGTAAATAGTGAGTACTGTATTATCTCGTTAACTTTACCGATTCTTAATTTTAGATTAGCAATGGTTTTCAGCAGTGCAGTCAGAAAAAAAAGTGATTGTGTTTTCAAATGCACATGAAAATACACTTAGATCATAACAAGAAATAAACAGATCGTAACTCTAGCAATCTCTTGGAAATGATATAACTACTAGTACAATATGCAGTAACACAGAGGATAAGTCATGTAACAAAGAAAACAGCCACAGAAACATTTGCCAATGCCCCCCCTTCCTGCAAAGCAATGCACCTTGAATGCTGTATACTTCACTCGTTTTCAAACCGGCTGTATGGGTGGTCAGAGTCAGGAACAAGCCCTAGGAGAAAAAAAAAAACATCTTATGTATGTAGGCAAAGTAAACAGTCTTGCAGTGTTTGCAATATAAATGCTTCAACCAAATTAAAATATCAAATCCCAGTATCATGCTAAGAATCAATTCCCCCACAGCTTTGCACATCACAGCTTTGAACAAAACAGTAATTCTAGTAGTGTCTAAAAGGTACACAGATAACTTTATTAATGAAAAGTACATTGAAAAATTGTTATAATTAGATATTAAGTGCTACCTCCTGAGAATAACATTTTCTCATTTAAAATATATACATATATTGGATTCAGCAGATGATTATTGTTTATCTTTAGATGAATAAAAACACAAAACAGTTCTCTAAGTAATTTTCATGCCAAGAAACCCAGTACAGCACATGCATCTGTGAAAGGAGTAAAAATATCCTTAAAGGTATCCTCTGATATTTTACAGATTCAGCAACTGAAGACATTCAATTTGAAATATTCTCAACACTTATGAATTTCATTTGCTATGTTATGCCCTGTGGTACAAACAAAATGAGGTTTTCTTTCTGCCCTTCCTTATCCTACGCTTCAGCTCAAATCCACAAGCTTGTCCCGGCCAACGTGAACTGATAGCCAAAGACAATCATTCCCAGTCCTGTCTTGGTCACCCGTTTGTTGGTGGTCCTGCCACAGAAAACATGTAAATCCAGCGGGATTATGCTACAGTCCATTTCTACCATGTGTGATGGTAAAGGAATCCTTTTTTACTTGAGATACTGATGAGTGTTTTTGAGGTTGAAGCAAAATAATCATTTAACTGTCTTATGAAAAATATTTCACATTGAACAGCGGTTATCAGCTTGTTACCTAAAGTTATACCAATCCAACTTGAAGTTATTTTTTTTGTTTTTCAACTCCAATGGAAACAAAACAAAAAGGACAATTTTCTGCTTTAGGAGTTTAAATTGTCGACAATTTAAAGATTTTGAAATAGCATTTTTTGGTTTGTTTATCTGAAATACTCGTGTCCAATTATAGATATGTCCATTACATGGTATTTTTCAGCTTACAACATGCACATCTGTGAATACTTTCATTAAACATGATGGATCTATCTTCAAAACAGATGATACAGTGTTGGTTAAAAGACCCACTTTAAAACTAAAAATAAATCACTATCTTTTATAAATAAAATATATCAGGAAAGCAAACTAGCAGCTCTTAAATCACAGTGTTTACATACAACACTAAGTCATTTTCCAATTGCAAAATAATGAAGTGATTCTGGGAACACAAGGAGCAATAGCCATAAAATTCCTGCAGTCAGGAATAAACCACAGTCTCCATGGATTCCCCGAGGACAATGTGGCAGATTCTGACACCTGCACAGCATTATAAATGTGTAATTACCATTTAAACAGACTGGAGCTGGCCAATGAGAGGAATTTAAAAGCAAATTCTATAGAGCCACCCTGAGGCTGACATTCAAGACAGGTTCATTTCAATCTGCATAGCCAAGTCAACAAAGTCATGCCGCTGAACTGTTCTGCCACTTTACACTGTAAGGCATTTCTAAGCCCTGCAGAGAAAAGGGAGATAAACCACACATTTTACTCAATCATTTCATCATCTTTTTTGAAAGACGAATGAGCAGAAAGTTATTTTTGTATGCTTTATTGATCACTAGATCCACAGACATCAGAAACCTATAACCCTGCAACTGTGTATGCAAAATGTTCAGAAAAAAGAAGAATCTTCTGTTTTTAGCATTGGAAAGTTTTTTTCCCCATCACTGACAGTGTTTTAAAAAGCAATAATGAAATATAGATGTTCTTGCTTCTACTATTTCACTCATAATACTAACGGTGATTCACAGATTTTAAGGTTCAGCCATTTATTTAAAGGTAAACAGGCGAGGAGGTCCTTATAACAGATATAACCATCGAATTTCTAAACAGTAATGCAGGATAACTGATTCAATTTCAATCAGAAAATAAAAAAAAATCTCAATTGTATTATGTGACTTTCATTTGAAGTTAGCTTCTTTGTAAAATGTTAAACGGTCATTATGCCATTTATGCATTATAAAGTTTTGGCATGGGCAGACATATTTGCCTTGATTTGGTTGACATATAGCAATGACATCAGCTCTGATTTAGGCCTGTTGCCAAAGATGTCTTCTCATGGAGTCCAAGCTGTAGAAAGGTCAGAAAGCAACTCAGGAGGATTGATGAAGGGCAGAGCACTTCGACTGTCACAAAATGCACCACTGCAGGGGCTAAACATGGGAGCTGACTCTTATTTGCAACTAAAATCACAATTTAAGAAGTGAAATACCTAATTTTGTAAAGTCTTCCCAATGAACTATAAAGTACAACAATTTATAAGCTGATCACAAAATAAACATAGTAGAATCATTTCAGGTGTTACTGTGTGATGAGCAATGTAATAAGGGAAAATAATCATGTAATAAGGGTGCTGTCATTCTATTGAAAAAAGTATTGACTCGTGTTTAAGAGTAACCTTTAAAGAGTAAACTGCAGGACTAACCCTAAGAATTTCAATTTCAGAAAGCCTTAATCAAACATATTTGTTTGATTAAGCCACTGGTACATACCATACTTTTTACGGATTTCATCATGCCTAGATTTTCTTTCTGCCTTCCTGCAAAAAAAAAAAAAAAAAAATACTTTTCAGTTTTGATTAAAACACAAATAATGAACAACACAACAGGTACAGCAACAGCAGAGAAAACAAGATCATTAAAAACTGCTTCCAATCAGGAACAAATACCACATCTGAATGTATTTCCCAATGCAGTGCCACTAAGAGACCAAAGTGACACTTCTACCCTATGATGTAGCTTACAAAAACAGGCTTGTTTAATTCTATTGATTCAAATGGTAGCAGAAACATGATTTTTGAAACTGAATAAGCAGAGATTAACAAAAGAAAGAAGATATAACACAATGTGCTGCATCAGCATATCAAATCACATTGTTCGTCTGGAAGAAATGTAAGGTCCCCTTAAATTCTTACAAGGCTTCTTTCTGCAGTTATTTAATAATACCATGAGATCACTTCTGTAAGATGTATGCAAGTATCACAAAATCTGTATTTGACTGAAAACAAAGTACTGTCAAGTCAGGCAGATGAAAACCATTCTATAGTTCTGTAGGCAATGATATTTATTAATTTAAGTAGTCTGGCTTTCATTTTTAAATTATTTGATAATGTGAACATAATGTGTTCCTTTTGACACAAGATGAAAAAAATCTCCTAGAGATGTTTTATTGATGATGAGGGAGGGGTACAAATTCAAAAGGCCCTGAAACACAGATCTTAAGTAAATTAAAGATCAGAAGATTAAAATGAAGTGATAGTCTGCAATACAGCTGGGTGCAAATGTAAAACCACATGGGCAAAGAGGCCTGATTCCAGGCATCATGTAACTCTGAATCAACCTTAAAAAAACAAAATGGAAAAACCATAGGGAATGTTTTTTTTTACTTACAGCAAATACACATTCCCACAAATCGCAGCAGCATGGACTGCTCTATTTGTATTACAGTAGTGGAATTGAGATTGCTACAGAATAAGAATTCATAGAGTATCACATTTCTTTAAATTAAGATAGAAGTTTTATTAAAGGCTCATTTTTTCACATTAGTAAAAAACGTTTATCACAATTTCCTTTTCTGTAAATTGAATTGTCTAACTAGGCTGCAATTATTGCCCAAATTTAATAATAATTAAAGCATATTTTATACTTTATTGCATGTGGAGTTTTGCAATGTACCATTTTAACATGCTTTTTAATTGTTGTTTCAAAACAACCTACAACACTTTTTTTATATCTATGGTGGTTTAGACTAAAGTCTTGTCTTATTTGAGATCATACCATTGTACAGATCAAATACTGGATTTTGCCCATCTAGAAGATGATTCTTACAGTTTCAGTCTTACAAATGCATAATAATGCACTAAATGACTGTGAAATGTGGAGGTCAACTGAAGTGTTAATAACGTTCCTAGAAGTACAGCTCTAAAGATTAAAATCAGAGTGTATTTGTCAATGTGCACAGTCTGGAATACTGTACTAAGAATGCTATTACATGTAGGAACAGTGAATACTCATGGCAGTAATAAAGTCACTGATTGTCTATTCACTAATGTACATGTAAAACATTTTTCTTCTTATTTCAAACACTCATCTTGAGACAATGTAAGGAAACTGAACAGTCTGACCTAAACTCTCAACACTAACACCTGACGTGCAGAAACAGCAATAGTAACTATGCGTTACTGCTGTAAATGCATATGTATCTATCAGATGACCAGGAATACTTATTACTAGTTCTAAAGAAGTCTTATTGAAAGGCAGCAAATTAAACCTAATATTATGATTTCACTATAAAACTTAAAGCAATATAATGATTGGGTGTCAACATTTTAACTTCATACAATGAAATATTTGTGTACCATTGAAATTTTATTTTTCCCAACAGTTAGAAAAAGTAATTAAATCTAGCTCTTTATCCACTTTTTCAGTCAGTCTGAATTCTAGTTTTAGAATTGACACTTCCTGACAGTGAATGCATCGATGTTAGGATTCTTTTCAGTTTTTCATTTGATCTGTTCACTTTGTGTTATTTTTTTTTGTGATGCAATTTTAGTGATAGCACATAAGTTGAATGGAACCAAGGAATATGGATTTCAGTTCATGTACTTTATAAATTTGTTTTCTGCTTCATCCATATCAATGGTCTATGAACATACAACACATAACGCATTAAAAGCACGATGCGATGGGATCACAATTTCCATCTTTGTAGTCTTACTCATGTTGAAAACATCATTTTATACTTCTGCAACCTTTCCTTCCATACTCTAGAAATGAGAAATGCCGACTTTTCCAATATTTCAGATATTCAGTGCTTTCTACAAAATGCAGGACTTGAATAAAGTTATCTGCCGAAAGGCTAGCAGCCCTGGGCATGTCTGGAAACGGTATTTCCTTATTCGGTATGAAGATATATGACCGATTCAGTATAATTGTGATTGCCGTCACCTACTGGCAACTACAAAATAACCCTGTGGATATTATAACGACCTTCTTCAGAAATGCACTGGCACATTTAATTAAGACTGAATCATTAGCTTAATGCAAATACATGGAGATATTAATGTCTGATTAATAGGGCTATGGACAGAATTCAAGTTATAATTACATGCAAAGCATTTGCTGAACAAAACATGAAAAATGAATACTCTCCAGCTCCAATGATAGAAATATATATGCAAATGAAGCTACTGTAACAGTTCTCATGTCATTTAACCCTGCCTAATGCTCTGAAATCTATGCATTACTGGAATTAAACGGAGTGGATCTCATTTTAATGTGGCTTCTTTCTGCCCATGCCGTGTCCTTATGTGAACTCCTCCAATGTTTTTTCATTTAAACCAAGTGCCTTCTGCTAGAGCCAGGGGGGTTCTGCTCAGTTTAAAAGCTGAGTGGAGGGCCCCAGAAGGGGGAATTACTTACCCTTATTGGATATCTAATGATAGAACATTTAAAAAAAGCTACATTGAAACTACATTGAAAAAGACATTGTATCTGTAGACTTGGTTAACCGATCCTTACAATGAAATACAAATGAAATAAGGTCACCTTTGTTAAAAAAGGGAAATGTATTTTATTTAAATAGAATATTAATATAGTCACAGTATCCCTTTTAGCCAAGTGAGAAAATAAAATACAGATTTAAGCAGTAAGATGCTGAGCTCCTTGGTATATAACATTGGGTTTTCTTGTCTGTCCAGAACAGGTGTCTGCTTTCTACAGAATTACAGGTTTCAAATAAGCCATGCACATCACATTTAGTTATCTGTACTGTGACTGACCACATTCTGGAATTAGAAAAAAATATATATTATCTCATGCAGCCAGTATTAAAACAACTTAATAAGCTAAACATTACTTTTAAATCCCTTTTCTCCGTGTGTTGCATGAGCAATATTATGCCTAAATGTTCAACAAATGGTGCCTATGTTTTCCATAACTTTAATGGGTTCTGATTTCTCAATTCCTTAATGAAAAACAGTTGGGAAGTTTGGAGACACGCAGTTCAGAAACACTGCAATGCCTATTAATTCCAAAACATCAATATCAACTGGTTCCACCATGAGCCACCAGATTATTAAAGGGAAACTTATTATCTTAGTTCTTAATTGGGTCTTGCCCTTCATTGAAAAGCTATTCATAGCCACTAGTAACTGATGTTCATATTAACCTGTTTCAGCAACATATTTAACTCTATTAATAGCAAAGGAAATATTAACGCTTGTATAAATGTTACTGAAAAAATTAAATAGCAAAACCTGATCTAAAGAACTTCTTTTGTCAGCATGTATTGTTTTAAAATGCCGAAATTGTTTCAAAACTGAACTGTGCCCCCACTTTCTTGCGATTCCCTTTGTATTAAAATATATAGTCTCGATTCGGTCTGTAGGAAGGAAGATCAACCATGTTAACAAATCGGGATTTTGAACATTTAAAAAAAAAATCACAGATTTCAATACAAACCTTTTGATTTAAAATATGTTTTAAATGCAAACACTTTTGGATTTGATAATCAACTGATTTTAATTCATCCTATTATTTAGTTAGTATCCAATTACATTTTTGGATTATTTGCTTGACTACTATAATTGACACATATTTAGCAACGGTAGTTACTTTACGGTTTTATACGATTATTGATTTTTTTTACCAAGGAAAGTTTAATAAACTTAAGGAAACAATAGTGAACTAGGAAAATATCCAGAAATACTTTTGAGAAGTATCCATATTTCAAAAATAGTATTATACATAGTTATGGCTCATTAAAATATTTTTAAAAGAGTTTCCACTGTTCCATATTCAAATAGCATTTCTATGCCACTGGTATACATATAAGCCTTTCTGTGCAAGTGTTCATTGGGTTCTGCACAGTGCACAAGGCCCAGCCTCCAGCTGCCATAGTTATGTTAATCATGTCTCATTTCGATATAAAACGGGGCTCTGCATCTTTTATGCTTTTGTCTCCTGCTTTACACACACTAATTGATTCCTGATTCTGTTAAAAAAATGTAACTTCCCACGTTAAGGTATGCATCCTATAAAAACTGTTATTGTTGAAAATGAAATATTTTGTTAAATTCTCTTATATTGTTATATGGGCAAATATTATTCACAACTGAATGGGAGTAAAGGGGGTAGGGAAGTGCATCCGAGTTAGGAAGTGCACAGATTTCTAACCTCAGTTTTTCAATAGCGTCAATGAATCAGGTGACAGCTACAGTCCTACAGTAGGTCAATTCTTGCTGGCCCAAGTCCTGACTTTTCGGGGCCATCTCGAGGCACTGAAAATACACAATGTGCCCCAGCATCCCGAAGGACTTTCTGTTTATCACTTAAGCAGCATTTCATGCATTTTTAAAATGAACAGAAATCATACCTATGACTACTGAGGTACAGGCAAGGGATTCACTTGTGTCCCCCAAGATCTACTCTCTACCCCCCCAGATCTACTGCCTACAGATCTACCCCCAGATGTCTGTTAAATCACAGACACCACTTCGCAGTGACGAGTCAAGAGCCACTTCAAGGGCTCGTTTCAATTCAGCTCAGACACCGGGGACCCGCTCCAGGAATCTCTGACTTGCGTAGCTCATCTGCTCTCTGGGCATACGTTTAGTGGTTAACCCAGTTGTGAGTCTCTCTCTCAAAACACAATCCCTACATTGGCCACCGCTGCCACACCAGCATCCCTCCTGCATGACCGCTTCAATTGAACTACAACAGCATTTAATATTCAGATGTTTTCAAAATGAAGCTGTAAAATCATGACAGCAAAATTACATTTATATAACCCTAATGCTCTAAAAGTTGTAATTAGTCAGTTAGAAACACTGTCGGCTGCACTGATCCTTGGATACTGGGCTCCAGAATGTACAAAAAAAGCCACAGTGCAGAAATGACCTCATCCCAACCTCAACTGTGTAACCAGAAAACAGCAGTGGAAAATATTCCCCAAGCTAAATGTCAGGGGACAAACACTGCAGACATCAATAATCTCCCAGTCCTTTCAGTTCCCTAAAAATATTCTGTCTTGCACATTTTTATGTGCAAAAAGTAAGAACTTCAGAGATCTCTAAAAATGCTATAATGTTACGATTCTCGTGCAGTTTTTTTTTCTTAAGTGGCTTCCTGACCAGGTTAATGGAGGCACACCCGCCGGGTCTAAAACAAAAATAATACTTTGCTGCTTCTTCTTCTCCGGCCTCCATAAGTTCCACCACGAACATGGAAAAAAGCCGAGTCCAAGACAACGCAAGATTAATACTTCCTCTGCAATTCCAGTTTCAAAACCATACACACCGCTCTTCGGAGCGCTGCCGGATTTCCTCCCGCCTTCGGGACAATCTTTCCTCATCTCTGTCCAACCTAGAGAAAAGAATTAAAATAATTACTCGGACTTAAAGTCGGTCGCTTTGAAGTACAAACTTCAAATGTTTTAATATGGAATGGAACAAAGCCCATTCTTAAACTTATCTACAGTTAAGCTCACCTTATGACTATATTCATATAAGACATGTTACCGATGAGTATTTAAACTCTCTGTCATCTAAAAAGTGCAAATTAGAAATTAAAAGTGTAAGTTAATATGCATAACTACAGTATAATGACTTGAAATGCCCGTTTGATGAACGACCTGTGCAAGGGGTTAGCTTTCTCACAGTCCTAGAGATTGCTTGGTCATATTTTAGGATCTATCTGGTCCTAATTATGTGACACTGTTTGGGGTAAAGGCTTTATTAGGGTCTAAGAGTTAGTGCAGTGTGGGAGATGCAAAACAGGCAAAGCGTTAGAGATAAAGGCTGGAATTTTCCAAGCTTTAAAGCCACAGTGTCATTCAGCATGTCTTCCTCTAAAGATCAAATTCAATTCTGACTTCAGAATCTGATAAGATAACTAATCCACAGAAAAGTGTTCTGGTAATTTCAATAAAAGTAATTTGAATAAAAAACAGCAAATTTAAGCAACACTTTCTACATCTTATTCCTTACAAATCAAGGCTAGACTTATTCTTTAGTGTCAGGATGATGGCCATCTGCTACGTTTTAGACATTTTCCATCAGCTGAACATTTTTTTTCCCAACAAAGCTAGTATTTTCAGACCATTTCTAACTCTTTCTACCACACTGCTTTAAAATTCACAAAATATATTCATTTATTATATTTAAATACACCACAAATACTAACAATAGATCCCAAAACAAAGATGATAAGATTCTTAACCTGTGGCTTGTACAATCTTGTAAAATTAAAAATGTATGGCAGTTGTATGTCTTATTTGACATATTGTAGTATCTAATACTAGAAAACCTTATATATAATGAATAGCCTACCTGTATATATAACTAATGGATAAATGATAATATAGTATGCATGTTCAATGCAGCATTTTCTTTGTTATGTAGCCCTCATGCAATAATTTGTTATTATTTTAGCTTCTTCCAAACTACTGTGTATTAGTCAGGTATAAGCAAAAAGGCTAAGTAAAGACAGGGAAACAAGAGATTTTCCCTGCATGAAATGGTCTATAAGACAGCTATTATTTCTGGGAATAATGCGTGCAGCACTTCTTTTCCGAGTTCCACAAAGCACTGCATATTCATAGCACCCTCACTGGCAGGGTCTGTAAAGGCTATAGGAGACGTATCTTCACACAGCTCGATTGTAAGTCCACTGAATGCTCACAAAAGAAAGCTTCTATCAACGTGTTCCTGGAGAGCTGATTTGCTTTGGGAGCACAATCATGGAACCAGCCACAACCAGAATGTTTGGAGAAAGGAAATTACCCTGAAGAGCTAGTCCTGCAGCAACACCAGCAGCAGCAGACAGTAATACTTAACAAAATGGTTCCACCCACCACAGCCATGGCAATAATGAGGGCTTCAAAATTCACTGAAAGAACAAAACAAGGAGAGTGTGATAAGGCAATACAGAGGGAAAATGCTTGATAATACCTATTTTTATTTACTCACAAAGAAGCAAAATTGTGAGAAATACACTGAGCAATTCACAGTAAATTGTCTGCTGCCCACATAGAAATAACCACTTTTTCAATGCAATACCACCACCTACTGGCCACTTTCTGTTACACACAAAACAAATTCAACTGCAGAAGAGATCAGTCACAAAACAACACACTCATTCCTCTGCTATACTATATGGACCTAATAGTTAAGTGCATCCTAAAACAAGCATAAAAAATAAAGAGAATAAAGAAGAACATAAATGTCTCTAATTCTTTAACAAAAAAGTTCACTAAATGCCTTTGGACTATTTATGTCTAGACGATAGCCTCAATATCCACCTCAGTATGCCTTCAGTCCTTGTAGACCTAGCACTCCAATTAAGCCATCAGCAGGCATTCTGCTGCCATGCACTTCTAATCAAAATCATCCACTGGGGATTCTTAAATTCAGGGTAAAATCTGAAATTGCACATATGCGTGACTCGAAATAGGGTCTTTCAAAATACTTACCCCAGCACACCCCCCATCGAGCCTGAGACAGGCTGCACAATGACGCGGGAGGAAGTAGATTTTTGACAGGGTAATCTAAGCAGGTATTGTTGGTGTAGCACCACAGGCACTGTAGAAAGAAAATCACAATTCAAAAAAGGAAGAAAAAAGCCCAACAACTGCCAGTCTGAGTATATAAAAGATTGCCCCACTCCTATTATAGATATTACAAAGAACTTGATGTGGTGAAGGACCCTTAGCGATAATCTCAAAATAAACACCACTGAATCACTTTTCCTAATAAAATGAATTGGAACATATTCATATACACACACATTACAAAATCAAGTAGTTCAGGTGGGTAGCTGCATCAGCATGCGTAGGTTGCAAAGGGACAAGTAATGTAAGTAATTCCATGCTGGAAAGAGAAGAAAAGAAACAAAGTTTTGGCTGTGGAGCCACACCTGAAGAAAACCACACTTTTCAGCATGGAATAAACCATTACTTGCTCCTTTACAAAATCAAGTGTACACATCTGAATGTATTTAAACATTTTTCTAGACTGGGTTTAACATACCCTACTGCCAATAAAATCTAGTTTAAAATATACGTAAAAGAGATAAGGCTGAAGAGTCTAACAATAATATTTAAGGAAAAACGTGTTTTACATTATACTTGTCATTACAATGTTTTAGACATTTGAGACCACAGCTGCCCTCTTGTGGTGAAACTCATGCACAAAGGAAAACGATTTAAGAAAATGGGAGATTTTAAAAAGTTTGCAAAATATTTTCTTCCTTATCCTACCTTGTTACAGTTTCAAATATTCTGAATTTACAAATCAAATAATGCAACTATTAGTTTACATATGTGTAATTTAACACTGTTGTCTGTTTGATGAAAGCTATCACACAACAAAAGATAAAAAACAAATACCAGCATTTATTTTCTCTCCTCATAGTTACCAAATGTAACTATTTTATCTTCACATTTTTCTGCTACTGTTTCAGTTTGCAGGGTAGGAAGTGTTCTGCTCTCAGATATTCAAAAACTATTATAAATACATTGCTTTTCTGCAAATTGTTCATTTATTTTTGTGAATTAAAATACTTTTGCACCTCTCAAAAAATTTCAGCTTTATGACACAAAAGAGTTTTTAAACTAACATGTTACTCTGTGTATCACTTGTCAGTAAATTTCCTGTGCTATTTTTATAAGAAAAGCAGGTCAAGATTATAACTGATGAGAAAGCAACTTGTTCAAAGTGTTTACTTGCTATTCACCAAACGTGCATGAGCACAGCTAAAATAATAATATTAAACTGTATAAAATGCATATATTCTATTTTCTAGAATATCTTCCAAGCATTCAAATTTCAATCACAGCAGATCCAGTGGCCTGTTACTTCAATAGAAATAATTGCAATGCTGATGTCCCTGCAGTTTGTTAAATCAGTTTTAGAGAAAACTTCTCTTGGTAGGAAAAAATGAAAGAGAGCTGATCTTTACACTGGAGGCTTTGGAAACTCCTGAAATGAGCATTCCACTCTGACATCATAAAGGCATTACCTGCAGAAGAAGTTTACTGCTCTGTGGTTATATAGCAGAACTTGGCACTGAGCCTATTGACAGAAATGACATCACCCTCTTGAGAGAATGAGGCTATGTGAACTCTTAGCCCCTGAGCAGCAAGATTTAATTTTGACAGAGTCAAAACAGAACTGCACTTATCAGTTACATTCCTTTATAATTTGTGGAAGAAGACATTTTATCCAAACCAAATGATCACTTTACTTATCACTTAAACCTCCTGCATAATATAAAAAAAGCTTCCTTTTCTTTTTCAACCTTTACCAGCTGCTACATACAGTAACTCCCTTCTCCCATGAAAAAGTCTAAACAGTTCCCAATCACTACACAGCAGTTTATACCAACCTGCAATTAGTGGCAATGATCAAATCACTTTCAAACTGGTAACAAACTTAACTGGTATGTCTTTTTAAAATTAACATGACACACGCTACAACTGGTACTGAAAGGATGATGACTTGTTACATAACGAAACATTAATAAATGTCTAATGTAACTTACCGAAACATTCTTTAAGCATTCTTCACAGGATTTCTGAGAAAATGTAGAGCAAGCTGGAATTAAAAATGGAAAACCATTTGATAAGAGCTGGTATGGTTTTGCTGTGTATAGGTATACACACTGTAGTGTGCAAAGAAGCAAACTGCTATAGCTATGATGATATATAATCCTGAGCCCTGGACAATACAAACACCACAGACAATCCAAACAAAACATGAAAAAATCTATATGAATTACATGAGAAAGGATGAAACACAAAAGATATGGAGCAAATGAGTTTTAAAAATCACTGCAAGAAAGAGGGAGCTTCGCGGCAATGGGCTGAATACACAATGATACTGTCACTGGACAAGGAGTCTGGATTACATTTCCAAAGACAAAGACAAAACTAGTTCAGGTGTGTAGCTGCGTCAGCATGCGTAGGCTGCAAAGGAACAAGTAATAGGTTTATTCCATGCTGAAAAAAAGAAGAAGAAGTAAAGAAGGCTCCTGAAGGCACCTGAAGAAGGCTCCACGGCCGAAACGTTGTGTTCTCTTTCTTCTTTTCGTCTTCTTTTTTTCAGCATGGAATAAACCTATTACTTGTTCCAAAGACAAAACTAGACAGCCTCTCAGGAATCAAGTAATGTGCAGGAGCAAGACAGACACAGAAAATCAAACAGAAACAAGAAATACCTTGAATTATATGTAATTGCATACACCGCAAATTAAAAATCAACTAATCTGTCAGCATCACGCTATTGCTTTATATAATTATGTGAGGAAATGTCTAAAAAGGTTTAATTGCACCTCCCAGTACTCCATTCTTTAAGGAAAAAGAGCGGCCGTTCGTTTCAGCGGTTCTTCAGCTGTCCCTCCTGCCACTAGAGGGCGCCACAATGGCCACAAGCCCAGAGGACACAACAGCTGCACTAGTATTGAAATTAAACCAGACTTCCTTGGGGATGGTAGTGTAGAACGTTTCGGAATTTAAACCTTTTCTCAAAAAATGTATAAAACACAACACAGTAAAGTGGCAGGATATGGATCATGGACAGAGAGATATAAAACCAGGAGGAGAAGGACAGAGCCATGAGAAGACTCCTCCTGAGGCAGAACACAACCAGGCAAGTTGAGCCCTGAAGAAGGCATATCAAGGCTTTAGGCACGTGTCCGCTCTCTCGTGTTGACTTCAAAATCCTCATGCTCTACAGTAAGTCTCTTCATGGCTTGGCACCTCAGCACCTGTCTGACCGATTCCTACTGATTGTGGTATCCTGCTTGTCCCCCAAGCTCGCTTACCTTCAGTGGGCGACAGAGCCTTCTCTCGCTGCGCCCCAGAAGCTCTGAAATTCTGTCCCTAAGGATATCAGATTCACCTTTCCAGAAGTGCTTTCAAATCCAGACTCAAAGCCTTCTTCTTCAGGAAGGCTTCATCGGTTGTCTGCATTCTAAACCCTGTTCTTAATTGTGCTAATTTTGCTACCTTTTCTCCTTGTTACATTTTTTCCCCCTTACTGTGAAGTGCTTTGAGAAGTTACTTCTATGATTCTTACTATTATTATTGTGGAAATATATAAACAGTTTATATTCTATTTGAGGTATCTACCAGAGGAAAGAAATCCCTTACGTGTTCAGTGACGAGCTATTTAAAATGGTTTCAGTTTGCTTAGAATCCTCTAGGGACTGATTTAGTCCTGTGTGAGGCCTTTCATAAACAGGTTCCTCCTTGAGTTTTGTTTCCTTATTCTGTAGAAGGAAGGGCCCTCAAGGACAAAGAAGGTTCAGTACAGCTTCTCAGAAAAACAAAATACAAAAGAATGTTATGAATTATAGGACACTATATAGTGCATCAGACATTAAATCAAGGTCCAAATTAAAAATAGAAGTTCTCTGGATTTTTAGACTTAATTGGGCTGCTCTAATGGCCTCAATGAGTGCAATGAACATTACTGTCTGTCTTAATATCGAAGTCTGCGTGGTACTGTCTTGCCCTGTCACGTGAAAGTGATGAATCTGGTGGAAAAACAAAGCTATGCAAACTACCATGAATCACATGAGATCACTGCATCTGCCACAACATGCCACACCACCTACTTGACTGCACATTCAGTCACTGTAAATGCAAACAGGTAAAGTGATACACTGCCTCTGGAGAGGAATACCTACCCTGGAGCTGCAAGTAGCAAGCGGCTGCCAACTCTTATTGTCGTACTACTGTGCTTCAAATAGCGACGAACAGCCAGAAAGCAGATTTAAACCGAATCACACAAAGTAGTGTACGTAGATTAAAGTACTTAACAAAAACAATGGCTCTTTGTTATCCTTGTTCCTCCTCCCCGTTCAATATGGGTACTAAAGAGTACATCGACCCTATCACGTCCGCGAAACCAACTCTTCTGATGTGCTGAGCGAGTATTTTTTTCAGCTTTGTTAGTAATAGGAGCCTACATAGATAGGGGTTATTCAGCCCCTGCAGTACAGTAGCACTTTACACAGCTGCTGAAAGCAACCCCGTCACCTGATTTTGACTCGGAGTAATTTCAAATCCCAGGGAGCACTTCAGTACTGTAGTATCAGAAGGAAATGCCAGTTACAACAGGTGAATAAAATAAACGCTACCGGTATGGTGCACTAGTCTAAACTGCATTAACTCGTAAAGAAATGAGCAATAGTATCCACATTTCTAAAAGCAATAAAACCGCCAGAGAGACGGGATAAACTTACGCCTATGTGGTGGTGGAGGGTCCGCCATCGAGCTCTCCGCCGCAGAGAAACGGAAACAGCTCACAAAAAATAAACAAACCGAAGCTGCGATCTGTAACTTCCTCTGATAGCGCATTGTCCCTTCTTATTCTGGACGATGTTGCATTGGTTCTACACAATTGTCCCCAGCAGTCAGAAACTGATATATCTTCCAAAAGCCAAAGGTCGCTTGATACCCCCAACTGCAGACGCCGAGATTCGCCACTTTCGCACAGAAGTTCCTGGTCGCTCCCCGGGGGGCTGGCAACTGCGCATGCGCCGTCAGCCTGGGCCGTGCACCGCAGGCGGATGACCGGGCAGGCGACGCTGTGTTGTACAGTCCTGGGGTGGAGGCGATTGCCGTGGTCCGGTTTGCACAAAGTTGCAAGTCTTCCCCTCCTCGTTTCAAAATAGGAAAATGACATTTTGCGGCAGGTTGGAGTGCAGAGGTTGATCGGACCTCTAGATATCGGGGTGCAGAGGTAAATCGGACCAAGTGAATCTTATTCTAAAAAGAAGTTCCTTTATTGTGGAAGAGTACTAGTAATAATATATTTTCCGCTATGGATGGAGAAGAGAGCTCCGAGAGCGATTAAGTATTGCCCCGATGTACTATTTCCTATCCTGATTTACAGGGCATCCTGAAGCAGTAGAGCACCGCAGCTTAAGACATCACAGAGTTCAATGTTGTTGCATCCTCAGACTGCTGGGTTTAATTATACTGTAGGTATGAATGTATAATACAAACAAAATCATAGTATAGGAAGGACAAATGATTTAAAAAACTTAGTTATTTGTTCTGTTACGTGTTTTAAAGCGTGGTTGCAGGCACACGCCCTATTTTTTTAGAGCGGTATCCTTACAAATTGAAATGTACACTAGCACTTTCTATTACGGAGCACGATGCTTTACAGGACCACAGGTAATCTACTATTTCATTACTGTACTGTATTGACGGCATTCTCAAATGCACTTCGCTTTGGAGAAAGTTTTTCATTGACAGAGACATAAGGAAACTAAAATGTATAGTAAATACGCCACAAACCCCTGTAAAATTAAAAAAAAATATAGACTCGGAAAACAAATCACAAAAATGTCTCAAGTACCGAGCTTGACATTGCCAGCAGCAGCTATATCACCCCACAGCTCAGCAGTCCCAAGATGGGAGCCCTCCTGGGAAAGCTAAGGTTGCTGCTGGAAGAGGTGTTAGTGGGACCAGCAGGGGGCACTCACCCTGTGGTCCATGTGGGTCCTAATGCCCCAGTATAGTGACGGGGACACTATACTGTAAAAAAGGCGCCGTCCTTCGTATGAGACGTAGAACCGAGATCCTGACTCTCTGTGGTCTTTACAAATCCAAGGCCGTTTCTGGAAAGGAGTAAGGTTATAACTCTGGTGTCCTGTCCAAATTTCCCCCTGGCCTTTACCAATAATGGCCTCTTAATAATCCCCATCTATGACCTGGCTTCATCATTGTGTTCTCCACTGATAGCTGCTGTGTGAGGCGTACTGGCGCACTATGGCTGCCGTCGGACCACTCATTGGTGGTGGTGGAGGGGAGTCCCCATTACTTGTAAAGCGCTTTGAGTGGAGTTTCAACTTATGCTCTTAAGTATGAGGATGATGATGATTATGATGATTATTAAAGATTGAGTTACACCATAAAGTTTGTTACGCATCCTGTCGCTGAATGTATGCGCTACCCCTGATTCAGCGTAAATCAATGCTAGAATTTTACTTGATCGAATGGCTTGAACTACAATGTCCCCAGCTGAGTGATGTCTCGGTGCTATGAAGGAGGTTAGGTGTTCAATCGGAAAGTACCCGCTGTGAAATTAGTATGACCACGGGCGCACAAGAGCAGCCGGCCGCACTGCTGAATCCAAATGCCTAATGAGATCTATATTTTAGGGCTTAGGGGATATCATGATCATCAATATCATTAAGAAAAGTTGCTGATGAAAGTTGTTGGGATCACGGGAATTCTTTGAAGATTAGTTGGTCGCAAGCTAATTTGGTTTTATGGTATATTTTGTTAGTGTATGCTGTGCTTAAATCATTATAGTGCATTCTGGCGGTTTCATGCTAATGTTAATTGGGAGCGAATAAAAATCCATTATGCTGTTTTCTAAAATCTATACTAAAGCATTAAGAGAAAAAATAAAAACCCTAGTGTTTTAATTCCCCCCCGATCCCTGTGTTCATCTTGATAAATATAACGTTTTTTTTTAATGTCGGGATTTATGGATTTACATTGATCAAGTCGAAAAGTAAAAGTAAATGCATTTATACGGGGGAATTTAATTATATGAAGCACAGAAATAATCGAAACACCCCTTTTGAACTATAGATACCTTCAAACCTAAGCTTTCTGTGTAAATGAGGTATTCGTGCAAACTTTAAAGTGTGTGGCCAGTAAAAACTCGTTATTCCCATCGCGTTTTACAACTCAATAGGAACTAATGTGTACTGGTGAAGTGTGCAGTCAGGAAAGTTAAAAATGATGTACGGGAGAACTCACGTGTTTTAAAGCTTACTGTACCAGCCCGATGAGCACGTTTTGTGCAGCGGTGTTTGAATAACGCTTATCACGAAAAATCAGGTTTGTCTTTTCCGAAAACTCGTACCGCAATGTTAAAGTTTTGTATTTGCTAAAACAGAACGACTGCTGTACAATTTCTACTAAAATATCGGGGTTTCGAGCAACAGTTATTATTTTAAAGCGTTTTAAAGAAGTTGTTTAATTTTTCCGGTTGTGAAACCATTTCTGTGTGTATTAACTATTACGCCAGTTTCACTATTAGCAATATCAGACATCTTTATGCAATGCATAAAATATAAAGTGGATTTTTTAAAATCAAGCAAGTGTGCATCCAAATGTAGTAATTATTGATTAATATATATGTACATTATTGATTATTTCGACGAGTTTATATTAAATGCTAGCATTTAACAATTAAAATAATGCAGTGAATCGTGTATAATTATCCCATGTAGTCAAAGTTTATGGACCTTTTCATATTTTACATTATAATAATGTCTTGTTTGCATTTGAGCCATATTATAAAGTTTGCGTTTAATACATTTTATAACTTGTAAACTCAAAAATGTCAAACTCTTCAGTGACATGAAATGACCACGGATTGTGATAAAGGTATTTTTCGTTTCTTGAAGGGAATAATGGAGGAGCAAAAGACCAATGAGAATTCAGAGGAGAAAGCTTCGGTAATAAGGAATAGCGACAAAGGCATCGCGGCCATTAAGGCTCTGTAAGTACGCTAACTAAAACATTTAAGTTATACATTAACTATGTCATATTCCCTGTTCTTTAGGCGGCGCGGGTTTGTTCAAGATATCCTGAATGGTTCGGGAAGTCCGTAATAAAGTCTCGAGCATAGCTCAGTCTTTTAAAGTTATTTTAGGAACAGATTATTTCAATTTCCATTTTCAGGTGTCCTGCATATGTAAACTAATTTTTTGTAACTAAAACACTAAAGATAGGATGTATCTAATAGTAGAGTACATTTTTTAGTGCGCTTAATCCTAAAGGATTCCATAGTTCTAGTGTTGCACCTTTTAAACATGAGTACATATACAGTATATGTTCAACTATATGCTAATAAAAATGCAAATCCCAAAAAGTACAGTTTTCAGATAGTGCACAAACAATTAATGACATTTTATGTTTTGGAAATTTTTGTCTTTTTTTAATAGGCCTTTATTATGTCTATACTATAGATATTTTACTAATATACTAATTTAACAGAATATTCCTTAAATAGAAAATGAGTAGCTTAATGAGTCACTTAATGCAGCAGTTGCTCAGTGCAGCGCATCTCCTGGAATTAGGTACCGACTGTGTTGAAAGTTAAAGGAGCAAGCAGTGTTTAAACTTCTGTTTAAACTTCTACCTTTTATTCATGATGTGAACTGCCTTTGATGCTAAATGTATCCCCCAGCTTTCTTGTTATCTTAATCTAATTATTAAAACTAAACCAATACATTATTGAATGATTAACAATAAATTAGTGTTGAATTGCTGTGCGCTATGAAAGCAATAATTTCTAATGCAGTGGCTTATTGTGTTAGACGTGGAAGTATCAGAAAGCAGTCAATTGGAATTCACAATACATAGATGTAGCAGTTTTGTCATTACAGTCTGAACATTTGGATTAGGATCCTTGAGTTCAAATATCTCACAACTTTAATAGGCTTCACCCCATTCTATATAAATTAAATTTGAGAACTAAGTTTTGAAACATTTCGAACTTTAGGATTCTCCTGCTTACTTAAAAGGCACCGAATACTCTAGGTTATATTAAGGGTTTTCATTCATAGTCCTATGCAGAGTTTGAGATCTCCTGGTTTATGCCTTGTTATGTCTACCAAAGACTAGGCCCCACACACTGGGAGATCGAACCTTCTTGTTTGCAGCATCAGTCTGTGGAGAGCGCTGACTAAATCAGTTGGAGACAGCAACTGGTGCCATTTTGAATACGCGCTTAAAGACCTACTTACCTTTTCACTAAAATTGACTTTGCAATTTGGTTTTATTGGGCCAGTTCACAGTCTGTTTATTTTCTCATCACGTCGATGTATTTTACTTGCATTTTCTATTGTACAGCATGTTTATTTATAAAACGCTACACACCACTTATTATATCTAGGTACAGCACAACCAAAGAGAAGTTCCATGAGTGTATAGACTCCGGGTGGAAAGGTGAAAAAAGGGCCTTTGATGCAAAGAACCCAGAAGGGGCGAGTGAAGAGGCGAGAGGAGAACAGGCTGAGGAACCGCAAACCAAGAAGGTGAAGCTGGAAGAAGGAGGGAAGGATCAAGGAAAGAAGAAAGCAAGGGGGCAGTTTAAGAGCAGGCCTCATGTGAAGCCCCAAAGCTACGACGATAAGAAGCTGTGCCCCTCAATCGTTCAGGTATGTTGTGGTGTGTGCCAGAGATACTGGAGGAGAACCACATGGGAATGCAGTCGCACGGGCTTAAAATTGTCACATTGTGGATATAGAATGTTAACTTCAGTAGTCTGAAATGTTTTGTTGTTTTACCTTGCAAAACACTTGAGTAGACTGCTAGTTCAGTGACAAATGTGAAAACGGTCAGGCCACTCTAGTGGGAAATCATGAATGTACAGGGTTTGTGGAAAGTCTACACTTCTTTTCCACAGCAACACATTTTGTGGTCTAACAGCCTGACATCTTTGACCTTTATTTACACATTGTAACACACTCCTCCAAGTGAAAAACATACTGCTTAAGTGTTAGGAAGGCATTTACAAATGAAAATGTAGAAAATGGGTTGATGTTTCCTGAATGTCAATAACTGCATAACTTTTTATATTCCAGCTTATACTGTTCTGTATAACAACTTGTACTGGACAGAAGTCAAACTGAGCAATATTGTTATACTATATCCAAAAAGAATCAGCTTCTAATAGAACATATATTATTGTCTCTCATAATCTGTTGAAGTGTTGAAGTGATCTTGTCAGATCAGTGTGATTTGAATGGTGTTTTACATCTTGATTTTTTTTTAACTAAATACATGAGAAAACATGAGACTCTGCAGGAAATTTAGTTCTAAGTCATTTAATAATTATGTTCAGTATAACAGTATTAAGCAGGGTTTTAGGTAAAACATATATAAACATGCATATTGGGAGTATAATGTTTATTCCATGCTGAAAGGACAAGAAAAGAAATATGTTTCAGCTATGGAGTCTTCTTCAGGTGTCACATGAACTGTTGCTTCTCTTTTCTTTTCCTTACAACATGGAATAAACCTTTACCTGTTCCTTTGCATTCTGCGCATGCTGACACAGGTACCTACTTGAACATCTAAGTATGATGTTAATGTATATGTTGTGTTTTTTTAAAGGAATGCGCCAGTAAGTGCTTCTATGGAGACAAATGCAAATTTTTCCACAATATTTCCGAGTACATGGCACTGAAGCCCGCAGATATCGGAGAACGCTGCTACATTTTTGACACCTTTGGGAAGTGTCGCTATGGCCTGACCTGCAGGTTTGCCAAGGCTCATATTGGAGAGAACTTCAAGAACCTGGTGAACCAAGAGCTGCTGGATAAGATGGAGGGACGCTCCGCGGTCAGAAACAACCTCAATAAAGACTTGCAACACCGCTTGCGGAAAAAGCAGGTTTCCTTCAAGGCATCCGAAGCTTATCTCAGGGAAATGAACAGGAAGAATCAGCAGAGGAGCACTGCCCAGATGGATGTGGGAAGCAAGCCAGTGGCTAGCGGCAATGCCACCAAGACAGAAGAGCTTTCTGAAGCAGTGGGCAGAAGCACTGCAGCAGATGTCCCAAAAGAAGAAGGAAATGTAGAAACACTAACAGCGGTAAAAGAGGTAGAAGCCAACACAGAAGCAGAGGGAATCTCCTCTTCTGTGGAAACAGTTGGTTTGAATGTTTCCGTAGACCCCAAAGAACAAGAACACCACGGAGAAAAGACTCCTGTTAAAACTCTTGGTGTGGTAACTGATGCTGACATTGTAAGACTTCGACCCTGTGAAAAGAAACAAGTAAGTTGTCTTGGCACCAGCTGATTGGTAGACTTCAGCTTTCAAGGGACATCTATCTTTCTGCTTTCTGCTTGCTTCATTGAAAAATTGCAGAAATATTGCAAAATGAGGTCCGACAACTGTTTCCCAGTGTCTACAGTGGAAGATTAACTGATAATGCTCCATGTTATAATATTTGCAGGTCTTTGAACGTGATTAATTCAAGATCCTCATGTCCAAGTAGACAAGCCAAGTGAATAGGACAGAAGTGTAAAAGGGAAACAGATTTGATTTTACAAAGTCAAGTGTTAAATATGTTGAAGTGAAGAAAGTTTTGATTCTTAAAAAACAATTTACACAGGGCACAGAAAAATATGAAAATAAGGATTTGTTCAGGAAGGATTTGTTCATCTAGGTTGTTTAAACCACCTTCTCAAAATTCTTCAAATAACAAATAGCTATGAAGAAATGGAACACATTTTTTCTTTGAATGTCTCACTCTCCTGGCCTAACTAATCACCACCTCAAGACTAAGTTAAACCAGACTTCTAATGAGGGAGTCTGGAGTAAAATTCTGTCCATTTAAAGAACTAATTTTTATGGATTTACTACTGTATGTCATCATACAGATAACATGTAAAGCACAGCAATTGCCATTCTGTCGTTGTTCATGCTTTTAGCTGATGCTTTTATCCAAAAAATTCATTTATACTTTTGGGTATCATAGTGGAGCAGCAGATGTGAAGTACCTTGCTTCCATTTAATGTTATTCTTATCCCAGATTTCGGTCCATTCCCGGTTTTTAATATATGATGACGGAGTGCAATTTTGATAGCGTGGGCAGATGAAATTCGTGGCACAAGCTGCATTCTCTGCTGCTGCTATAGTCTCATTTATGATACTTGAATGATCATTTTAGCCACAGTATTGGTAGTGTTGCAGCTGCATTTCACTGTGCACCTGTCTGAGGATCACATCCTCGGGAATATAATGTGCTTAAGAATATACTTCATAAAGTGAGCTTGCATGCACCGATGCATGCACAGCGTCGGTTTAAGTAATGTTTGCTTGTGATGCTGCCCTTCACATTTTTTAAAGTATCTTGATCTGTATCTTTGAGATTATTCACCAGATATGCACTGTACGCTATATACAGTGAAATTGTGGGGTGATTGAAAGTGATAGAGACAGTTTAGACATATGCAAAATGTTACATATGACATTTATAACTATGAAAGAAGCAGATTTGTCTTATCTTGCGATAAGAAGGTGTGCTTTTAACCTTTACTTCCACTGTGCTGGCAAGAAAAACTCAAAAGTGTTAAAGCTGAAGTGCAGAAATAAAAGTAAAATAAAAGTTATATAACTATAGTAAAATAAATAAAAGTAGTATTTGTTTGACATAAAATCTAAAAAGTCATCTCCAGTATTTTAAAAACAATGCACTATATGTTTTTTGAAGAACACTTATTCTGAGTTGTCAAATATTGCAATCATAAATTAAAAATGATAAATGTTCTACATATCCATTTCCGAATGCAAAATGAAAACATTTTCATGAAACGTAATTTGTCACATTTTATTGATATAAGCAAAAGCTACCCACATTTCTATTGAAGAAATATTTTAACTAATTTACAGTATCATGTAAATTTTTGTTTTGCTAGGTGGACTTCAGAGACAAGCTGTACCTCGCCCCTTTAACAACGGTAAGTATAAAAACGAACAGCAGACCTTCCCTTTTTCTTGCAATATATAATATCAAAATTACTTAAACAGTGGACCTACAATTACATGACAGTAACGGAGTCAATTGGAATTTCATGCTCTTTTGTTTTTGGAAATTCTAGTGTGGAAATCTTCCTTTCCGTCGAATATGCAAACGTTTCGGTGCCGACATCACCTGTGGAGAAATGGCTGTGTGCACTAACCTGCTGCAGGGCCAGACGTCCGAGTGGGCTCTTCTGAAGAGACACGAGAGTGAAGATCTGTTTGGGGTGCAGGTCAGTTCAAAATTCATTCCTGTCACCTGGTCTTTGGCAACAGAAGAATGAGTCCTGCGAAAGCAGGAGTAGTTTACCTTTTCTTACAAAATTCGGCGTGCCCGGATTTTAAATACTGCCTTCTGAAATCTTAAATGTGCTTTCTTTTAATGTCAAATTCATATTTCTTAATTTTGGAGTATTTCTTATTTGCTTTATGCTTATCAAGACTTAAGAGTGCATATGTCACGCCCTCCACTAATCGGAAACGCCTTCATTCTTATTCCACTTCAGTCCCAGGTAATTCCAGAAAACGCCATCACTCCAACTAATTAACCAGTTACAACACTGCCCTTATCACCTAGCTTTCTGTTTGTGTTTTCAAAACATGGTACAGAATAACATGGTTGAGCTTTTTTTCTTAAGGCGTGAAGGTGTTTAGAACCGAGTGTGTTTTATATAAAGTATTGGAATTTTGCTCATTACAGTTGGAGGGAAGCTTTCCTGACACCATGACCAAGTGTGCAGAGCTGCTCAATAAAAACATCGAGGTGGATTTTGTGGATATCAACTCGGGCTGTCCTATTGACCTTGTGTACAATAAGGTAAAGCAGTCTTTGCTGAACAGATATGGAAACGTGAGAAAGCAAGTTAGGTGATGAATTCAACTCATCTGCTTCTATTTCTCTATGTTCCCCATAGCCAGTGCGCTAGTAGGAACAGACCCTCTCCCTAACCCCCCTCTCAAATCCCCTTGAACCCTCCACTGGAAAAAGATAATTTGGAGTAGCTAATCAAAGCTAACCTGCATGTCTTTGGGAAGTGGGAGGAAACCAGAGCATCAGGTAAAAATCCACAAAAGATTGTGCAGAGTCTACTGAGACGTGATCCCCAAGCTGGAATCAAACCCTGGACCCTGGAGTTGTGAGGCATTAGAGATGTGCTTGTTGCCTAAAATAATTTAAAGCTCTTACATTTTTTCCAAGTTACAAGAGACCACCTTTAACTTTATCTTGTGACTCTTAAATACTTACTTAAAAATAATTAAGATTCCATAGTGTGTAAGTTGTGTCTATGACAAGTTCTTCAACGGTGGTAGAATGTCTGATATTTTAAAAGAATTCACTAGGAGGTGAATTTGGTGCTTTGCAAATTTATCTTTCAATTTCTCGAACAAGGGAGGTGGCTGTGGACTGATGACTCGCACAAAGAAATTTGAGCAAATTGTAAGAGGAATGAACTCGGTAAGTAAAATTTATTAAACAATATTGTTCCGTTTTCATGCTATATTAAGGTCTGGGAAAAACTGATAAAATACTGTACAAATATTTGTATGGCTTCAAAATATGTTCTTGAAGTTGATTTACTATGATGCAATCAAGTATAAGTAATCACAGGGAAACTATCCTTTGAACTCTTAAATAATAGAATAATATAACAGTAGTGCTCAACTTCAACTGTCAGTGAATTTACAAAAATTGATCTGTATTTATTGGGATTACTTAGCTGATGGCTTCTATCCCAAGGATAAATGTTTAGAACAATTACTGAATAGGACAAGTGTACATAGTGCAAGAGTTAGTGTAGAATTATACAATTAGCATTCAACATTAGTGCAGTAAGTTACAAAGATTGTGACACTGCGATAGCAAAGGAGAGATGGGCATATAATATTATACATTTTTGAGGAGCAAACCTGATCTTGTCTCGGGATAACTCGTTTTCACTTGGTGGAGCTTTGACAGTACTAACAACATTAAGTGAAGGTAAAGTGCAAAGCTTTTGTTTCATTGTCTTTCAGGTTCTAGATGTCCCTTTGACAGTTAAAATACGGACGGGTGTTCAAGAAAAAAACAGCATTGCTCACAAACTCATACCGGACCTGAAGAGCTGGGGGGTATCTCTGATTACAGTAAGTCGAGTCACTGTCGGAATTAGCATGCTGTTTTTGGTTTGTCTTTGTGTGGATCTTCACTCATTCTGTCTCTCGCTCTTTTTGTCCAGCTTCACGGCAGATCCCGTGAACAGCGCTACACAAAAGTAGCGGACTGGAATTACATCAGCACTTGCTCTAAACTGGCAAGCCCTGTCCCTCTTTTCGGTAAGCAGAATATCCCTTTATTTCATGTGGCACCCTTATTTTTATTTGTGTGTGTGTAAGTGGAAAGGACTAGTTTGTCAGATCACAGATCTTTACTATGTTTTACCTTTAATGTCAACACATTTTATTACTTTTTGCTTTTGGAAACTGTCAGGATTCATCATCCATCACTCAGCCAGTTGATCTTTATTGATTATACACTTGTAGTCTAGTTACTATTTTAAGAAGATGTTAAGCATATCCCTCAATGTTCTTTATCGTCCAGTACTTAAATGTTTGCATGTGTACGTTGTGCTTTGCATGTGGTCGTCATACAAACCAGTTTAGTCTCTGAGCTTGTGACTGGAGTGTAGGAGTTCTGTTAACCGACCATGGCAGGGTTGGTACACTTGGCATTTCTGGTAGGAAAAATACTTGGAATTACCAGGGTTACGTTGGTGTTCGTTGGGGTTGCTGTTCTCAGCGTCTTCTGGGACTCCAGTGTCCAGTGTTTTTCAATCTTACCGAGTTCCTAAATGCAAGCTAATTGATTTACAAATTTCTAGGCATTTTAAAAATTTGCTTTGTGTCGTTAATGGCCTCAATGAAATAAATAGTTGGGATCAACCTTATAGCAATTTCTGAGTTTTAGGAAACAGTGACACTCACTGTTTGAGGGCTTGATACATTGTCATTCCCACTGTGTCTAATATCATAAATCGAACATTGAGAATAAGGGAGAAAACTTTTTTTTGTTCTTTAAAATTTAGAACTTCTGACTCCAGTTAATTCTGTTATACATGCCTGATGTGGAATAAACTGTTGTGTGTGTTTCACATCTCACATCTCACATCCCTCACCAACAGGACCACATGCATGCAAGCCTCAGGAGTTAATCAGCCAACGGTTTAGTGCCATTTGGGCAATCGTGGTCACAGTCAGCTAGTGACATGAAACCGGGATTTTAGAGCATCGTTGTGGCTTGAGCCGCTCGGATGGCATACATGTAGCCTTTGTGGTGAACCTGAAGTAGGGTATGTTTGAAATCCAAGTGCACAATAGAACAATTACACAAACGGATCAGCTCATGAATTAAAAGCCTAAATTAGCACCAGTGCTTAACAGTTCACTTGTAAGGAAAATGAGCAGGCCCAGGGACCCACAGAGAACTGCTGCCTTGGATGATCTTTACCTTAAGTTATCCTTGGCTTGACAGAGATATAATGATTTTTCATGTAATAAGGAATTGAATTTCCACGCAGGAAATGGAGACATACTGTCTTATGAAGATGCAATGAAAGCCAGGGAAACAGGAGTGTCTGGAATAATGATTGCAAGGTAAAAACAATACATTGGAATGCATAAGATCTGTGTGATGGATTATAGATATGAATTGGTAAAACCATATTGTAATGATATTCAGAGTTTGCACTGAATTAATAATTGATGTGTAATAGATACAGGTTGTTAAGTGATACTGCAGCCTGCATAATGCTTTATCTGAATTTATAAGACTTTGAAAATATTCTGTAGTTTCAAAATATTATTTTCTCTCTCAGTAATTCAGATTTATGATAAAGGACCAGGATGTATCCTTGGGAGAAAACCATGCTCATATGTTGTGTTTCATTCTCAGAATGATTATGAATACTTTGAGATTTCAGCAATGAACTAGTTGACTTGTAGTTTAAACCACGTTTACTCTACAAATCCAAAGGAGCAATACATTAAAAATGTTAAACTGGAAACCTGAATCAAGTTACATTTTAGAAAGTAGTTACAGTTATATTAACTGGGTATTTGATCTCTTTCAGAGTTAAGAAAAATATTTATGTGTTGGCATCCAGGCTTCGAGTAATCTTTACATTCATATACACAAGGAAATAATTTTCATTCCTTCTACAGAGGTGCTCTTATTAAGCCTTGGATTTTCACTGAAATAAAAGAGCAGCGACACTGGGATATTTCATCAAGTGAACGGTTTGAAATCCTGAAAGATTTTACAAATTTTGGCCTGGAGCAGTGGGGCTCTGACACCCAGGGTGTGGAGAAGACCAGGACCTTCCTTCTCGAGTGGCTGTCCTTCCTGTGCAGGTAGAAACACTGTCAGAAGCAAACCTGTTCTTGCAGCTATACCTTGCCTGACTAAGCAGTGAAAAGAAATGAAATAACCACTATATGGAGCAATTGAATGTGAAATGCAGTCATCATACTGTTCACCTTACAGGGAGAAGGAGGATTCACACTGGAATTTGAATACGATTACTGTGGTCTCCTGAAAACAGCTTAGGGTGTTACAAAGCCAGCTAGGACCTGTCTCATTGGTTTTGACTACACTGTATTGTATGTCTCCACTTCATGAAAACATGGAAGCTTTTAATGTCAATATAATACAGGGAAAGCAGTTATCTGTGTCAAAAGTAGAATGCAGATGAGGTGTGTGTCTCACGAGGCCACGCAGGCGTGTAATTAACACCCATTGTTTGTTTTTGTTATGATTAAACTAGTGAATATTAGCCAAAAACCACTTTCCATTTTGTGGTTTTGCTCACTAAATTCTTATGCTTTATTCCTGTCTTTGATTTCTGTATGTTACTCTGTGTGAACAATTGACATCTGAAAACCAAATTCCTTTAAATATTCAAGCCTAATTTACAGTTTTTACTTAAGGGTAAACGTTCCTGAGAGTATTAGGTTGGATTGTTTTTGTATTCTTGCTCGTAGATATATCCCGGTTGGACTCTTGGAGCGTGTCCCACAAAAGATCAATGAGAGACCCCCCTACTACGTAGGTAGGGATTACTTGGAAACCGTGATGGCCAGCCAACATGTGGGCGACTGGATCAAAATAAGGTGAGAAATGCTTTTTTCTTCTCCTTTAAATTCTCTTCAGTGTCAAAAGAACCTTCTGTTGCCAAACAACTGGGTATCTTAAAAGCTAGAAGGTTAAGTGACAACTATTTAAAACAACAAATGAAGCTTAAAAGCGAACTTTGTAAGAGAAGCTGAATAAAAAGCCTTTTTGGAAGTGTTAAGGGAGTATTAAGTGATTAAAGACCAACATAGATCATATACCAACAAGGTAGTACTTGATACTTAATTTTAGATAGATAATACTCTATTAATCCCGTAGGGAAATTGATTAAATTGATTTTTGAAATCGATTTTTGTTAATTTTACCTTTCAGAAACATCTACCTATAGACTTTCCAAGCTTTATTTTTTGCCTATATTCACCTTTTTTCCATTCTATGTATTCCACAGATGTATTTTTTTAGGCTTGCCTGTAATCTTGAAAATGAGACAGGTTGTTAAATAACAAAGACACATAAACCAGTGGATGAGAAAATTAAATCTTTCCTTTTCTTCACACAGTGAAATGTTGCTTGGACCAGTGCCCACCAATTTTACCTTTCTGCCAAAACACAAAGCAAATGCCTACAAGTGAAACTCGCAAAGGAACTGGCTTAACTGAAATTTTGAAGCATTGGAGATATTGAATGGATTTTATGGTGGCCAGTGGTTTCTTAAGAAGAACAAATATTTAAAACTTGGTCCATCTTGCCAATTAGGTAGTTAATCCAAGGCATTTATCCAGTATTGGCCTCAACAACATGGCTGGGTAGCTTCTTTTAAATATGTATTAAGAGTCAGAAGAAACTTTACCATGCTGTGCATGAATGTTTTGAGAAAAATAAAGGTTATGGATATTGGTTAAATGATTTTGGTGTCATTTGGATTAATTGTTCTTGACTGACTGATACATTCAGGTGACTCATTGTTGCATAAACACTAAATCAGCTCATTAGTAAGAACCGTTAGAGCAAAGGTGATGAGGCGATTTAACCCAGTGATTATAGAGTATGGTGAAAATCAAAGCAAACATGCAGAAGGTAATCAATGTGTGTGCTACTCACCAGCAGCAGAGCCACCTCCTCTTTAGTGATGCATCAAGGTTGTGTGTAGACCAACATTGGTAAGTATACAGTATCACAGATGTGCAATGTGTTTGTGATCTACAGGTCCATCAACAGAGAGGTTGAAGTGTGAGGGTCTGGACAAGAACGTTTATGTGCTACAGAACTATAGAGACGAGAATGGAACGGTTAATCTTTAATATGTTACCAGACTTTAGCCCACTGAACATTTGTGGGATGAATTTGGACTGAATGTGAAAATTAGAACAGGGAACAGGCACATGAGCGTCCAGGCTCTACAAGAGGAATCTCATGTATTGCAGATGTACAGCTGGTGTTGCTCCCTCACACGGTGTTAGCTTGTGACTTTCACAGTAGACATAAGTGACCTACTACCTAAAATGTCTGTACCTGCTACATTTTTTCCGCAATAAGTTTGTAAATTAGTTACAATTATAAGTGGCTTCTTTTATGGTCAGTATATTATGGAGTGTGTATACTGTGCACTTAAGATGACTCTGCATACAGAGCTTTGCAAGAGTATCCACACCTTAGGTCCCATTTTGTTAAATTTCAAATGATGGGTACACTTGAAAAGTAAACATATTTAATCAGAAATTGAATGCTTAAACTGAACACCTTCATGAGAGAAAAGGATTTGGCTTTAACATTTTAGTTATTGATTTTATTTTATGGTGTTTTCTGATAATCATAATTAAAATTGTTCCATTTGAGTGTTAAACATTCTGACAAATTATATTGCCTTAGTCTTGCCACCAGGTGGTGCACATTTCACACTGAAAGCTACCAAAGCGCCACAGGTTCTTTTAACAAAAAACATTCTTTATGAGGTTTGTATTTAAGATCTATAGCATTTTGCACAAATCCTAAAAAAGTAATACATTTTCACAATCTACATTTACACAGTTTATATTTCCATGTGCATTGAATTAGATCACCAGTTAAGGGGAGGCAGAAAACAACATAGTTTATGTAGAATATTACACCACATGATAGTATTATTTTGACGTGGACATTTCAAATGCTGAAACTAGGGGTTTCTTCCAGGGCAGAATGCAGGTGACTACTTGCGTGAATGATGGATGTTGTCCAGATAAACCTTCAGAGTGCAGATGCATTATCTTATATTTTGTCTCATAGGTAAGATTTGAACCAGGTCAGGTTTAAAAAAACATCTTCACTGTTTATCAAAAGATGACACATTATTGCTGCTTCAGAACATTTGGGGGGAAAAAAAGTCTGAACTCTGCCAAAATGACACATTTTTGCCCTCTCGAACAGATTTTGTTGACTTAATGTGCTGCCTGGTTTGGCACCAGACACTTTTAGGTAGACACTTTTTATGATACATAAATCTCTTCACCACACTGTCCTGCTCTTGGATATTATAAATCCCTTGACCATCAACTACAGAACTGTGTTATTTAGTGCCTTTTGTAACCATGTCTGTCGAGGTGCAATATAATGGCTAAATCACAGAAAGAAATGGGAAAATGTTAAGGCTTATATTTTTAAACATGGTTATCTTTGATAAGGAAGGGTTCTATCAAACATGATGTAGAATGTTTTCTTCCTTATCTGTGAAGGACTGAAAAAACTTAAAAGATTAACTCCTGAATCATTCATAAAATTTGTTGTTTTTTTTTTTCCAAAGTAGAAATAAAATATGATCTCGTATAATGAGCTACAGGTGTTAAGCTTCCTATGTAAGAAAAACACTGCCAGACAGAATGAAACATTCAGTTTCTTCCCAGCTTGAAGAAGGTGGCATACTCTGACAAAGCCTAAGCCTACCATAAAGAGACCCAATGTAATTGTCTGGGGAAAAGACTAGATATAGGAACAGGTTTGTAAAATATGCCTCATAAAATTTGATTTTGCTTAACCACTTTTTTTGAAAATTAGTTCTCTGCTGTTAACACACAAATACTTTACCAAATACTGAAATGCCTTTTAGTTGGAAACCAAAGCAAAAATAAAAAAAATCACAATGGCACCCTAAGGGTAGGTTTAAATTGACTCCAACGAGACTTGTAGTGGATATAGTCACTATGCAGACTATTCAGTGCACCCACTACAGCAGGAAAACCAATCGCATCACGCAACAACTGAGTAACGTCCTCTCCCCCCCTCTGGAGTAAAACTAGATTGGCTATGTTTACACAGATATCACCGTGAATCTAGTAGTAGAAAAAAACACTATCATCCTGCTAGTAACACATACTGTATCTGTGGTGAAGGCAAGTTTTGTCGTGGCTGAAGAAATAGCTAAATCAGGGAGACCATTCTGTGAGGGCGATTTTCTAAAGCGGTGCCTGTTAGAAGTCAGTGAAGTAGTGTGTCCGGAGACAGGGTCTGCTTTTGCAAACATCGGTCTCAGTAGAAATACGATGGCTACTCGAGTGGACGAGATTGCTAATGATATACAGGGGTGGCTTTAAGAGAAAGCGACCAAATTTATTGCATATTCACTTACCGTTCAGGATTTTATGCCAAGATTAGACTTTCTTGCATCAAAGAAAAGAGCTCAGGTTTCTGGCTTGGCAAAGCAACAGTAGACTAAGTTTGTAATGTAGACATATCCTTATTTGTGTTTGTTTGTTTTTATTTCACTTCATGTATTAATTTCAATTAATTTTATTCTTTAATAG